CCCCCACCCTGCCCCTCCTCCAAACAAAAAAAGAGAAAAGAAGGAAGGAGAAAGCGGAGGAGCCGGTTCGGCAGTGTAACGGATGTGGGTTTCATTGACCCGCCGCCGTCAAAGTAGATTCTACAACGCCGTTCACCTTTCGCTGTTTTTCTTTTCCTTTGTTAAGTTTGGTTCCTCTGCTATCGTCACTGCCACAGCACGCCCACCGAATTCTCTCTTCTCTGCATGCAACGGTGTACACTGCGTGATATGTGTATTACCCAAATTACACGGAGAGCACGGTACCGAGAAGGCTGCTCTGTAGGCGGTGTTTGTTCTATCGTAATATCATAGTTTTTTTCATTGTTTACTACGTGGTGCCGGTGAGGAGGCGCGCCAGCACGCGCTGCAGCATCACCGTGTTCGCGCACGCCGCCACCGTCAGCGCGACGGCCAGCGCGTAACGCGACATGGCCGCTCGCACGAGCTGAACGCCTTGCCGCGACAACCCGGGAGACATGAAGAAGGAGCCGCCGCTGCTCACGACGCCGTACCACACACCAGGGGCCATGGACAAGGCAGCACCGGCGCGCGGGAGAGTGAGTTTGCCACCCACCCCACCAACACCCGCCGTCGAACCGGAGACGGTCGCCGCCGGGCCGCAGAGCATCCACCAGCTTGCGTAGGCAGCCAAGCCTGAAAACGTGGCGCACCAGCCCACCATCATGAGCTCCACGACGTCCCTCGATACCCAGCGCAGCGCCGCTGCACCTCGATCGCGCATCTCCGCCTCGCCTCCGTTGTCGAGCCACGCTCGGTAGTTGTCCGCCACCTCCGCCGTGAGCGAGGTCAGGCAGGCGTAGGCACCGTTGACGTTCTCCATGCCCGTGCCGCTGTCGCCGACCACGTCGGGGTGCATCTCCTTCGCCAGCGCGCGGTAGGCACGTTTAATATCCGCCACGGTCCACGCCCGCACTGCCCGCCCATCCGCGTCGACGAGGCGGAGTGCGCAAAAAGCGGCGTAGACCTCCGCAAAGGCGGGCGGGGCACACACGCCATCGACGCCCTCCTCGGCAGGGGGGGATCGCGGCTGCGCGCGCGCCTCTGCGCCGGCGGGGAGTTCGGGCCGCGCGCCGGCCGTGAGGGAGCCGTAGTAGCGTCTCGAGATGCGCAGGGAGCCCAAGGTGGGGGCCCCGGCTGCGGCGGCCGCCCCGAGAGGAGCGGAGAGGCCCAACGACGCCGCGGCGGGAAGGCGGGAAAGAACGCACTCCACAGCGCCATCGGTCGCGAAAAGCACGCGGCGCAGACTGCCTGCGATGAGCGCGGTGACGCACGCGGGTGGCGGGGTGGCAGCTGAAGGCGAGTACGCACCGACCTTCCCCAGCGATCTCCGTGACCGGCGGGACCGGCACTGCATCCACCGCCTGCGTTGTCGCTCTACAAAGACAGCAGGAACTGTGGCAGCAGTGCCGGTGCCTTCCACGGAGGCGCAGAGACCAGCCGCGGCGGAGGCGCAGGCAGTGCGCGCTGAACGCCAAAGAACCACCTGCGTCATCAGCGTAGAGGGCAGGGCCGCCACCAGCTGCGTCGCAGAGGGACGTGCACGCAGCGCCACCGCCCGCACCGCCTTTTGCGGGAGCGGCGACAGTGCCGACGACGCCTGCTCAGCGGCGCTGTAGGATCGACAGGAGTAGAGTGTCTTCAGCGGTGGAGGTGCGCAGGTGGTGGTGGCGGCGCTGCGATGCACCACGACATGCGGCACGCGTGGGTGGCAGAGCGCACGGAGTCCCACGGAAAGAGCAGTCATTTTCGACTTTTCTCCGGTTGAACTAAAACTTGCGTAGCAGCTGCGCTCCTTCGTTGTTGCCACGAGGTTTGCGAACGTCTGAGGTAAACTCACGTGAGGAAGAAATTCTTTTCTTTTCTTTTAGTACGGGAGAAGGCGGGCGATAATCGTGTCTGAGGTAACGGCATATATTGTGTAACGTCGCCACGACTGAACTCTCCTGCAGCTGCGCTCGCGGACGACGCAAAGCGGTACCATGAAAGAAAAGCCCTCTATTGCAAATCTGACACGAGTGGGATGCCTCGAGTCCACGCCAAGTACGAATAGAGATATTGATAAATCTATTTAAGAAGGGAATGCGCTCTCAGAGGTAATAAGTCCGTTGGCTGTTCGTGTTCTGATTTGCCGTTTAGAATCGAAGGGTCTCACCGGGCGTCCTCCGAGGGGGGGGGGGGAAGAAAACAATCGAAACAGAACAAGAGCGGAACGTCCAAAGGTGTGTGTGTGTGTGGTAAAAGAAATAAAAGAAGAGAAAAAAGCCGCAGTAGCTTTTGCCGTTTGTTTTTGCTTCGGTGTCTCACACCTGGATTCTTTCTCTGCTCTTTTCTCCTTCATATATGCGGCGCCGACAGCCATGTTGACCAGTCCGGGCGGCAGGAGAAGTGGGGAAGGGGGGAGGGAGAGAGAAAGGAACGGAGCAGAGAGTGCAGAAGGATGTTTGGGCGAGAGAGCGACACCAACAACAACAAAGAAAAAAAATGGATGCATTCGTTTGCTAGTAGCTGAAGGGATGCCAGGCGAGCCTGCGGCACATGCCGTGCGGACGCAAAAACGGAGGTGTGATGGAATTCCTTGAGCGTGTTAGGGCGATGAGCCGCAGCGGAGCGGACGGGAACACCACTGCGTCTGCCACCTCCACGTTTTTTTTTTCGCAGAAGGAAAGGAAAAAAGAGAACACGAATACTCCTGTGCGTGAACTGCCCAGAGAGAAAAAAAAAAAGACACCGCATCCGGCGAGACAACGAGAAGAGAAACTTCAGGTTTCCCATTCGCTTTTGTCGTGGAGGTTGTTGCTGGAATTTGATTTTCATTGTTTCGCCTCGAGCGGCACCGCTACGTCTCACTGGCACACACACACACACACACACACACACACACACGACTTGGAAACTAAAATATGGCCAATCACAAAACAATGGTAATAACAGAGTACTAAAAAGTGATGCGCAGGGAGAGATGCGTGGGTCGTCTCCTCTCTTCTTCCCTTTCTTTCTTTCTTTCTTCATTTTCATTTCCGACATATATATATTTTTTGCTTGCGTTAGAATGAACGGCGGTGGTTGGACCAATTTGGTGGCATGTGAAGAAAACGGAGAAGGCGTTTTTTCTTCTTCTTTGATATTGAGAAAAGAGAGATCTCACATAGTGAGAAGCGTAAAAAATCGGAATGCAGAGTCCACAGCTGGAATCGTACGAGTAATGGTAACAGAGACACACAACACATAAGCCACAACAACAACAACAGCCACAACAACAACAAGGAGAAAAAAAACGTTTTGAATTGCAGCGTAGACGGCGTCCCCTTTTTTTTTTAAAGATCCCTCCGTAAGGACGCGTGTACGTGACTGCGAGAAACACTGAAAATTTCACCGCCACAACAGCCGGCGTTGTGGTGATACGTAAAGGAGCAAAACGAGGAGGAGCTAAAAACCAATTAAAGAGAGAGAAAGGAAGATGCATCATTTTTGTTGGGTTTTTTTTCATAATGCTTTCGAGTCACAGAAAGAACAGAAGAAGACGTTTACAGTGAAATAAGAATGAAGAAGTGGCACGTGCAGCGTTGATCGTCGTCAGGGAAGGAGAAGAGATAACACAAAGAGCCGACGTGTCAAGTTGAGACGGCTCGCTACCTCAACCACCGCTGTGTATAAGGAAGAGCAAAGAAAGAAATAGGAAGAACGTGCAGCGAGGAAAGAACAAAAATTGCCCTTTCGCCGCTCGTCCTCGTTTCGGCAGGATAACAAGAAGAAACCGGGAGAAAGCGATGAAGGCGAAGAAGGAAAAAGAGAAAAGGAAACGAAGCTCTTTGGTCGCGTAGAGCACTCCAAAAACCCGCGTTGTGGACAAGACGGAATGCAAGGAAACATACATACATATATATATATATATATATATGTATATATCTGTGTACATCGTGTACATCGTGTACGGGTATGCGTGTGGGTGTGGGTGCTTTCCAACGCAAGGCGGTGTACATGCGCACCTGCCGGAGCACCGATCGAAAAAAACTGCTGCAAACCAAGGATTTCGTGCCATGAACTTCGGGCTTCCGTACACCCACGCAGACACACACACATACATATAGAGAGAGAGAGAGTCAAGGCGTTGCGTGAGAGCTTGACTGCCCTTCAACGCTTTTCGCCCGCGTCGGGTGGCGGAGACACGGCAGAGGCCTCGCTGGCGGTTTCGATGGAGGCCGCCGCAGCCCCTGGGGTTGGTGCCCGCCCCGGCTTCCGCAGCTGAAAGCCCGCCTCGTAGTTGTCCAACTTCAGCTCATCCAAGCTGGCGATGCCCTTCGAGTCGTACGTGCACCGCCACACCGTGCGATGCGGGACCTCGACGCTGATGCTACTCTCTGCCGAGGTGCTGCCAAAGTAGGCGAGCAGGCACCGCAGCACCGCTTGATGCGCCACGACGACCACCACCTTGTCGGCGTTCTCCAGCTCCATAATCACCGGCTCCAGTCGCACCACCAAATCCTGATAACTCTCCCCCTCCGGGTAGCGGAAGGTGTACTTGTTGCGCTTGCGGAAGTAGTCAATGAGGGGGTAGCGCTGGATGACCTCGTCGTAGGTCATGTCCTCGCACACGCCGGCGTGGATCTCGTTCAGGCTACTCCAGCGCAGCGTGCGTATGTTCAACAAGCGCTCGCTCAGCTCGGCCGTTTGAATGGCACGCCGCAGTTGGCTCGTCCACATCTCCAGCGTGTTGGCGGTGTTGGTCCCACCGCCAGCTGCCGCGGACCGGCGCACCGTCGGCGCGTCGGTGTCGTCGTCGTCGTTGCTCTTGCCGTGCGCATGCGAGTTCTCATCGCGCGGCGTGGCCTGCGCCCTCTGCGTTTGATCGATGTGCTGCAGTTGGTGCTTTAACGACGCCAGGAACTCTAGCAGGGCCCCGGCGTCGCGCATGCCCTGCTCCGTCAGCAGCGGGTTGCCGCCGATGCGGTTTTCTAGGTTGTAGCAGCTCTCCCCGTGGCGCACAAAGAAGATGGGGTGCTGGATCTTCACCTGCGAGAGGTTCATCACGTAGGAGATGATGCGGCTGGGTAGGTAGCCGGAGATGCCGTGGGTTTCGATGGTGTTCGCGTTGCGAATCTTCACGTAGCTGCGCGGAGTTTTGGGAGGCGGGGAGTGGGCGGGACGGCAGCACTGCGCCTCCGCCGCCGTCTTGGGCGCCTCCTCCAGTGTCTCGTACACCTGCTCGAGAAAGTGCAGGCGTGCGGTGAAGTCGCTCGTCGCGGTGTGCAGGTCGATCTCGCTGCGCGGGTACTCCATGGGGTCTCGTATCTTGCACTGCACAAAGTCAAGCGGGTCCTCGGCGACGTCGCGGATGACCTCCATGTAAAAGAACTGAGCCGCGAGGGGGCGGAAGAGCCGCTCCGCCTCCTGCCGCAGCTCCTCCGTCACGAAGTCGTCGTTGATCACCACCACCTCCCCACCGTGCTGGAAGAAGAGACGGCAGTCGTCGGCGAAGCTTTGAAGCACGTACCGGTACATGCGGCGCGCCACACTGGTGGGGTTCTGGATGAGCTCCTTGAAGTGGCGCGTGCGCAGCACCTCCGCCGGCATCGTGGGTCTGTCAGCAGCCGCGTCCGCGTCGGCTTCCGCCGCAGCGGCAGCAACAGCAGCGGCCGCGACAGCAATGGGGTTCTCTTCGGCCAGGACAGCCGCGTCGGGGACGGCCACCCCAGTCGACATCGGGCTCACAGGGTGCGAGTGCAGGGTGGCCTCCCGCGGCGACCCGGCCACCGCCACGTTGCTCGCGCAGTCTGACAGCGCGGCCGTCGGCGACGCGACCACCGAGGAGGTCGGCGACTGCGACGAGCTGCGGTCCTGGCGGGAGACCACCGTGTACGGCTCCATGGAAGGACACACCGGCGAAGTCCCACTCGACGTTCGCAGGGGCTTGGTCGTCGGCGGCGCTGGGGAACTCCTCCCCGCGGGAGACGGGGAGGGAAGGGCACTCGCCGGTGCTGCCCGGCCGCCGCCCTCGGCAGGGCGACGCAGCGGTGCACTCGACAGCCGGCCAGTTGCGACGTCACGCACCACCCGCGATACCTCGTCCTGGGTGGTGGAGTGGGACGGACGCTGGCCCGACAGCGCGTGTGCACGGCAGTAATCCTGGCGCGTCCCTCGCGCGTCTGCCGTGGCGTCCGTCGCAGGCGCGGAGTTCGCGGCGGCGGCGTGCGCGCTGACGGCGGCGGTGACGTCCGGGGCCGCTGCATCATGGCCGCAGCACTCGCAGCTCGTCTCGCCCTCGGTGGCCTTGTCCCGCTGCTCCGTCGCGAGCCGGTCTGCGTGGGTCGCCTCCCAGTCCAGCAGCACACGGCGCCATGCGACCTGGATGTTCTGCACCTTCGCCCGACTCCCGTGCCAGCCCAGCAGCCGGCAAATCTTCTGCGCCAGAAAGGTCTTGCCGCGTGCTGGCAAGCCCATCATGAAAATGATAAGCGTCTTCGTCCCGTCCTCGGCCGTTTTCTTGAAGTACTCCGGCCCCTGTTGCGAGGTGGGGATGGTGTACATGGAGAGCTGGCTCATCAGCTCAAAAGGCATCTCATTCAGCAGGAAGGAGGACACCTTCGGCATCGCCGCCGCCGCAGGGGCACCGCCGTCCGCGCTGCTGCTGTCGCTGCGGAGCGGGTAGACGCCACCAGACTCCTCCGGCTCCACCTCTTTCTCCTCCTCCGTGCCGGGGGCGGCGGCAGCAGCAGCAGCGGCGTTGAGGGAAGGGGCAGTGGTCGCACGCAACGAGTTCGCCGGCGTCGGCGTGACGCTGCGCACAGGCGACGCCGCGTTGGCCTCGGCAGTCGTGCCGGTGCCGTTCAGGTCCCCCACCCGGGCCGTCGGGCCCATCATGGGAGACGATGGTGAGGTGGACAGCGGCGTCTCCAGCGTGGCCTTCGCGCTCGCGACGGAGGCCACAGGGCTTGCGACGCCCACCTTACCTCCGACGCCGGCAATGGTGACGGTGGTGGTGTGAGAGGGGTACTCGTGGTACGCGTTGTTGTGGTGCACGTTCTGAGCGTGCAGGGTGTGGTAGTCCTCGGCCTTGCGCCATTGCCAGGCAAGGTACGGCCGCGGCCGGTGTCCCACAATGCGCTCCACGATGGCCTCCCGCTTCACCTGAGAGAGCAAGGGTGGGAAGAAGGTGTGGTAGGTCGTGTCCACCACGTTCACGGGCGTCTGCACGTTCAGCAGACTCGCCTCGTTGCTGTTCACGCTGGAGGTGCGGCTGAAGCGCATGTTTGCCTCCCTGCTGTGGTGGCGCCCCGCACCGGCGGTGCTGCGATGCGGCGACGGCGGCGAGTCTTCTGGCAGCACAACACAGCGCAGCTTCGTCTTCTCCGTTGCTGTCGGAGCGGGGGCGTGGTCCTCGCCAGCCTGCTCGAGGCCGCGTTGGCGCGTGGGCGAGTGAGAAGAGTGGACAGCGGCGGCGGCGGCAGCGGTGATGGTGGTGGTGGGAAAGCCGCAGTGTGGTTGATGCGTGGCCGCACGGCCGTCTCGTGCAGCCCCACCGCCGCCACCAGCAGACGCAGACGCCTCCTCGCTTGCCTGGAAAAATAGGTTGTAGTACAGCTGCGCGGCTTCCACGGCCTCCTTCGCAATGGCGGCTGCCTTCGCGGAAGGGTAGGTGACACCGTTCAGCACGGCAGCATTCATGTGGCGCATGGCGGCCGGTGAGGGTGGTGCGCCATCGCTACTCGTCGGCGACTGCGCCTTTGACGGAGCGAGGGGCCCCACCGAGGAGGATGCCTTGTCCTTGTGTCCGCTGGCCAGCGGCACCGGGGCGACACCGCCGCTGCGAGTGTCGCTGTGCGACGACGTGGTGGCCGCTGGAGTCTGCATGGCGCTGGGTCGTGTCGTCGTCTCTGTGGCGGTGTTTCTTTTTATTACCTAGCGTTGTTCTTTTTCCGATCAAAATAACGTTTTTCTTTCCAACCTGTGTGTTCGTGTGCACGTGTGTTTTTGAATGTGCTGTCTACAAATGGAGAAAGAACAAGTATATAGTTTGGGGGGGGGGCGGGGAAGCGGCTGATAGGCGGCCGCAGCAAACCGAAGAGCTGTTCGCTTTTCCAGCGACTCCGCTTTCGTTTCGATTCCTTCCTTCCCGTTTCCTCGAGAGGGTATTTCTCGTTTTCTCGTTCGCGGTCGTGTACGGATATGAGGTCTTTCCGTGAGTTTTTATGGTGAGGGGGAGGGAGGGAGAGCGCGAGAGGTGGGTCGCTGTGATATCCCTTCTTGAAAAGTCAGGCGCTCTGCTGTGTGATGGCGAGGCGTGAGAAACGAATTTGGAGAACCGGAGCAGAAGCAAACACACGCAGCGGCGGCGAATTCGTGGCGCGGACGATAGCCGCAGCGAGAGACGTCTCGATCAAATCACCACCAGAGAAAACCTATATATATATATATAACTCAAATTGAAGATCGTCACCGACAATATCAGCCTTTATAGTAAAAACTAGTAAAAACAAAGGACGGTGACAAACGACGTGGCGGTGTTGTCACGGGCGCACAAAAGAGGGGGGAGAGAAGAAGGCGCTGTGCGAGGTCGCGGCGCCGTCACGTCAACGTGAGAACCCCAAAAGACGAAGGATAAAGAGAAAAGGTGCTAACCGAGAGCTCAGACGTCGTGACAAGGAACTAGAGAAAAGAATCGGTGCAACGTACGGCAGGTGTGAGAGGGTACAAGGCGGCCCGGCGAGAAGCATGTATGTGTATCGCAGACAGCAAATAAACTGGTAAAAGAATTCGCTTGCCTAAAGCAGACGGGAACAACGAGACGGCGCTATCGCTTCTGATGGAGTGCGAGTGATAACAGCGGCAACAACGATCGCACAACACAAAACAGCAGCGAGGATTCCCACGCACCCAGAAGAAGAAAAAAATTATTGTATTTGAGAAAAGTAATGAGAGAACGCAAGAGTGAACGTGAAGGAAAGTTATTGGGTTTTGCATACGTGCTAGGATTGGAGACGCGGACGCGAATTCCTCCGCAGGGCCGGCTACACTTTCCTCTGAACACATTTTCTGAGCGCCGTCAAGGAAAAAACAGAGCCTTTCTTTTTCCACCGCGTTGCACTTGTGTCTCGGTAGAATACACATATCCCTACTTCATTTATCTCTCCGGCGTAAGAAGAAGAAGAGCGACACACACACACACACACACACACACACGAGGGGAGCGTACATCGCATCACATATTGAAACAGAGAAGTGTATGTATGTACCGTATTTCTTACAATCAGCTGTAACTGCTGTGAACTGCGCTAACGAGACAGTAATCCATCGAGGCCGAAAGGGGAAAACAATAGACCAAACAAAAGAAACACTTCAGAGATGTGAAGGAGACGAGGCGCCAACGCCGCAGTCGGTGCGACGTACCGACGCCCCACATAGCTGCGTGAGAAGTACGTTCGGAGTTCAGTAGGGGAGCACGTGTTACGCGCCACCGCGTTCTTCGTCGCGCTCACGAATCGCCTCGTCTTGCCGGGCCCGCGCACTGCTCGATCTCGCAACCTTCACACCCGTCAGCACCAGCACGATACCACACACCAGAATCAAAAACAGCAGCAGCGGCTGCCGGACGGCGCGGTCGACAATCGCCTTTTCCTGGGCCCGGTGCTTCATTAGAATGTACTGGCGCAGGTGTGGATTTGCCGCCAACTCGGCCGCCACACGCGACGCACTGTTTGGGTTGTCGTAGGAGCTTCCATCCATCCCGGCAAATCCCGGACGACTGCGGTAGAGGTCGCGGACGTTGTTGAGGTTCGACACGGCGGAGTTAAAAAAATGCAGGCCTAGACGGTTTGGGTTGCGCGGACCGGTGCCGGGTGAGTGCGACTGCCGCGGCCGTGACCCGCCTTCGCCCTCCTTGCCATTCCCACCCCGCCGCTGGCGCGCACGACCTTGTTTTTGGCCGGCGGAAGCGCCGGAGGCGGTCGAAGACGACGACGATGATGACGATGCGGCGTTAAACGCAGCCGCCGTGGAGTCGGCGCCGTCGCGCACCCGCCAAGGCGGCAGGTCGTCTCGCCTACCCCGCCGTCGCATCTCAGCGATGTGGGACGTCACCTCCTGAAAGCGCGCTGCACGACGGCGACCTTCCTCGGTGCGCAGATCAAAAAAATCGTCGGTGTCATCGCCGTCCTCGCCGCTGCTGCCGTTTCTGCGACGCTGCCGCCGTCGGTTGCGGTCACCCTGATAAACGCGCTGCGCCTTCGCGTACTCTTCCTCCGTAAACTGAAAGTCACGGAAGGGTCCGCGGAAGCGCCCGTCGCCGCCGCTGCTGCCTCCGTGACGTCCCTCCCTCAAGATGCGCTGCCGCACCTCGAAAGGCACTTGCCGAAGGAGGTGATAGGCCTCCGTGCCGCGGTGCATCATCTCCGCGCTCTCCGCCGCCGTGCGCCTCGACGCGTCCGCTGCTGTTGCGGCGGCGGCTGCTGACGGCGGTGTTGAAGATGTTTTGGTGGTAGACGATGCAGCACCGCTGCCTTCGTCTGTGTCAGCGACGGCGGCTGCGCTGCCATCAGACAACGATGACGAAGACGCTGCCGCGACGTTCATGTCGGGGTGGTGCAGGATGGCAAAGGCCTGAAATGCGCGCTTCACCTCTGCCTCAGTGCAGTCATCGCGTAGGTTCAGCGTGCGCAGCGCGGCGCGCAGCTCGGCGGCGGTGACTGCGGCGTCACCGAACGTGCGGTAGGCACACCGCAGGGTGGCCGCGGGTCGTGTTAGCTGCGTGTGGAAGAAGGCGCGCTGCCGCCTCATCGTGGTGCCCGCTGCGGCCGTGGTGAGCGCTGCAGCAACCGCCCATCTCACAGAAAATGGTCGGAGAGGTGCTCGGTGCAGCAGCGACGCGGACCGGCAGAAGCGGAGGGGCGGCTGCGCCGTACCGCACACGAGAATCCTCATCTACAGAATACTTATTTTGTTGTTGTTCTTTCTATTATTCGATCGATTTCTTTCATTGAATTTTCATTCCCCGTTTTCTTTTGGGGTTTCTACTGCCCTCCAACCCGTGTACACGCGACGAAGACGCGGATCTCCACCGGTGCGCGTCTACGCGGGTATACGCGCAACAACACCGGCAAGAAAGAGACCCGTGCAGGAGGATGTATTTGTTTGATGCAACGCGCCACACAGCAAATCCATGCGCGCAACGTCGCAGTTCGAATGCGGAAGATGAGCCAAGAAGGAACGCGTTTGTTTTCAAGGTCCCGCGACAACGAGAAACCAACAATAGAAACGCAGAAGAAGGTCAGATGAAGGGAGGAGGGGAAAAGCGTATATTCCGCTGCTTCTCAAGCTCTAGCGGAAAAGAATGGGGCTGAGGACATGCGTCGTCTGTGCGATTGCGTATACCTGTATCGACCTTGCGATCTGCACTGTGTTGCACTCCGCTGCAAAGCGTCATTCACCGAATATTTCTTTTTGTTTGAACAAAAAATTTTTTCTGTCACGTGAAACAGCTGAGTTCGCTTGCTCTGTCGTAGAGCGCAGCGCAGCAGAGCCTCGCGAACTGTGTTGACCGCGATCGTGAAGTCGCCGCCCGCAGCGGCAGAAAACACGCACTTGGACTCATGTGTACTCCCTTTTCTTCCTTTCCTTTCTTTTCTTTGGAATTGTCGCTCGGGACATGAGAGAAAGCTTCAAGACTGAAACTGTACTGCATTCTATTTTGTGAAAACACACACACACACGCAAACACACACACACACACGCAAACATCCACGCACATCCAAACACACTCACACACACACACGCGCGGGACATGAGACATGAGAAAGCAAACGAAAAAAAAAAGAGAGAAAGAGAGAAAGAGTTGCCAAAGGAGGAGGAGCAAGAAGGCACCGAAGAAAGAACAGAAAAAAAATCCGACAAGAGGAGAGATCGTAACCTTCTGAAAATCAAGAAAAAGATTCCTACACACATAGCACAGTTGTTGTTGTTGTTTTAACGGAAAAAGAGAGAACGGGGAAATCTTTTTCTTATATATATATATATATTCCTTTACAAGAGGAGAAAACCGATAGCAGCAACAGCCATAGAAGTAGCAAGACAAGGAGGAGCTTTGCTTTGATATGCACAGGCAGGGCCGAGGAAGAGAAGAAGAAAGAATTCTCCATGGCAGTTCGATCCAGATTGGGGGTGTAAGAAGAGAAAGAAGATGATGAGGAAGTCCAAAAAGAAAAAGAAAAGGAACGGTTACGGAGTAGCGAAACAGAGGGGGGAGAAGTAATCACACGGAGAACGACACCAGCAAAGATGTTCTTTTTCCTTTCTTCCTCTTCTTTCTTTCTTGGAAAAAAAAAGACGCGGTTGCTCCTCCCTGCCTCACCGCGCGTCTACGCTGCCTGCGGAGCGACAAAGGCAAACAAAAAAGAAAAATACGTAGAAGCTAAAATACGACACCAGAACATGAAGTAGTAATAAATAATAATAATAATGAACTAGACCAAAGAGAGAGAAGAGAGAAACGAAAGAGAAACGAGAGAGAAGAGAAGAAACCGTCGCAAAGAGGGAGAAAAAAAAATTATTAAGTGAAAAAAAAAGCGCAGGAGGGAAGGCATCGCCGCACAGACGAACAGCGGAGAATTGTGAGGTTTCCTCCGTTGTCGCTGTTGATGTCTTCCTTCTAAATACTCAGGCAACATTGAAGTACATGACGTCTTCAGTGTAAAACGAAAAAGACTCCTTCGTGTCACAACTAATATCTTTTCCTTTTTCCTCTTTTAGGCGGACATATCGGATCGCGAAGGAGTCTCACAGTGGGGAAACGGAAAAGGCCGCAAGATGCGTGTGTGTCTGCGGAGGCCGGGCAAGCACCCGCACATGGAGAACAGAGAGGATGCGGGAAAAGGAGAGGGAGAAGAGAAGAAGAAAACAGAGAAAGAAGAAATCCTTCGGTGCTTAAAACCACTGAATACAACACTATATAAACATATATATATATATATATATGTATGTAAATGGTGTGATAGGGTAAGTAACGTGCGGCGTCGTTCTCTGTGTGAGTGTGTGTGCGTGTGAACGTGAGTTCCTCTGTGTGCGGCGACAGCCCTAATAAAGTGAGAAGTAAAACAAACAACACACACACACACACACACTGGAAGCGAACAGGGGAAAAAGCCAACGTGTAGGTACAACAACTAAATAATACAATGGAAACGATGAAAACAATAATCGTCGTAGTCATCGCCGTCAACACAAACACAGATATGGCCACAACTCATTATATATACCCCGCACCGCCTCTCTCTCTCCCTCTTCAATCGACTCGGCCAAAGCGCCTTCTTGCGGGTCTGGTCACCACGTGGGGTTCTTGGTCGGCGCACAACATCTTCGTCTCTTCGCTCGATGTGTAGCTTCCTATTGGAAGGGGGGGGGGGAGGATTTGCACACGCCGAAGAACTCGACGAACTACGTGAGGTGGGGAGAGGGAGGGGGAGGGAGGGAGAGGGGGGACGCGTTTTAGAAAGAGCGAAGCACAGAGTCGCGCACAATCGCGAACGCCGGGTGGCGCAGCACCTCCAGCGCCGTTGGCCGCTTCTTTGGGTCGCGCTGGAGGAGCCACTGCAGCAGCCCCCGCGACGTATCCGAGACGTAGGCGGGGATTTGGTAGTCCATCGCCACAATACGGCAGACCATCTCATACACCTGCTCGGGGCTGCGCGTCGAGCTCGGCGGCTGCACCGTGCCGCCCTGCGCGAGGGGGTCAAAGGGCAGGGAGGCGGTCAGCATGTGATACAGCACGACGCCGCAAGCCCATATGTCACGCGCCTGGCCGTCGGTAATGCGCTCCCCTGCTCTTGCCTGCGCCGCGGAGGACTGCATGGTGGTGTTCATGAGGGAGCTAGGGGGCTGGTATGCGAGCGTCTCCGGTGCGAGGTAGCCCGGCGTGCCGACGGCCGTCTGTAGCACCTGGAGACGGCTCTGATAGACACCGCAGTGGCGGCACACGGTGAAGAGCATGTTGACGGGTGGTGCGTTGGCGCCCTCGCCGTTGCCGTTGCGCTCTGGCCCCGTAGCGGCCAGTGCCCCGCCCTCCGGCGGCGACGCGACGATGGGGACGTCTTTATGGCAGTTACTACAAATGCCGTACGACCCGGGCTGCGGCGTGCTGCTGCGGGGCTGCTGCGTCGGGTCGAGATCGTTCGGCTGACTTTCGAGCATGCAGCTGCTCATACCGCCGAGTCGGACTTGGGTGCTGGCTCGCGCCAGATACATGTGGTCCGTGCTGATGTTGCGGTGCACGACGTTGTGCAGGTGGAGGAAGTGGACGGCCATGAGGAGCTGATAAAAGTAGAAGAACGCGCCTTCCTCGAGCAGTCGACCGTGCGCGACGACGCTGTGCACGCTGCCCGCCATCAAATCCCGCACGAGGAACACCTTCGAGGAGCTCTGCATCTTGTCGTGAATGAGCAGCACGTGGCGCGAACAGTGGTACTCAAACGGGACGTCGGCATCGCTGATGGCCACGGCAGCGGAGGTCGAGGTCTGCGATATGGCGCTGCCACCCTCCATGGAGCTCTCCAGCTCCGGGTCGGCGCTACCGGTCGCGGCCTTGCGAAGCTCGCCGTATCGCGCACGCAGGTATGCTACGGTGCGGCCTAGAACATTTTCCTCGATGCCAATCCGAACACTAATGTTTTCGAGCAGCACGCGATCGCGCAGGTAGCCCTTGACGCGCACGGGTCGCTCTGGGCGTGTCTCCTCATAGCCTTCGTAGACGGCGTAGTCCTCCTCCTTCTTCACCTCTGTCAGCATGAAGCGCCCAATTTTCCGCGCGTTGTGCCGCGGCATTACGGTGGGAGATTTTCTCTTCCTCCCTCGCTCGGGAGGCGACGAAATAAAAACAAGCAAAAGGAAAACACAAGTCAAGGAAAGGAAAGATACGAAGACGCCTTCTTTTCGGAAAGAAAAAACATATATATTAAAAAAAAATTAAGCGCGAGGGGGATCGGTTGCCCCGGAGGCAACCCTCACGCTCTACGGGAGAAGAAGAGGAACAACGAGAAACGAGAAGCGGCTGCCGACGACGGCAATCCCATACACGCCTACAGCCCACAAACACCAGCGACAACGACGACGAAGATAGTGGCACACAAAGAAAAGCTTTAACGGTAGAAAGAATGCGAAGCAACGCGGAAAAGAAGAAGAAACAAGAGAGGAGATGAACAAGCGAAGTGGAGTGGAGAGCATCTCGGGATCTACTGTTGACGACGGCTTCGCTTTTGTCCTTCCATCATTACTATTATAACTACTTTATCTCCTCCCTCTGCCAGCCTGCGTGGCAGCTGCAGAGCAACTTTCCTTCTTCGAAAGACGGCAGAGGCCTTACAGGTGAAACAGAGAATTCGCCGCCGTAAACACTCACATCACTAACTCTTATATACTTCCTTTCTTTAAAAAGTAAGGCTGCTTAGATCAACATGCACACGCACACACACGCATGCGCGTTCTCCCGCTCGTCACCCTTGCCGAATAGCATCAACCGAATACCAAAAGAGAGGCAGCAACAGGAAGCAAACCAAAAAAAAGGGTCTACGCGCATAGCAGTTAAGTGAGAGACAAGCAAACACAAATACACGCACAGGCTATAGTTTACTGACATCCCTTCGTTGTTGGGCACGGACGTCCACACACGCACACACATGCAAAAGAAAAAAAGCTGCGGAAAGCACACTCTCGTTTTCCCGTTCATTCTAATCACACTATTTGGTTTTAATATATATCTTTATATCCATATATATATATATATGACAAGCACAGACATCACAGCAGCCTCATCAGAAAATTTCGCACCCCTGCAAAAGACAAACAAAAGCCAGAAAGATAAAGAAAAGAAAGAGAGCAAAAGAGGTGTATGGAGGAGCGCGTGTGCGTGCGTGTGTGGACGACGAAAGCAACAGACAAGCGAAACGAAGCGCCACCTCAGCGCGCCGCCCCGCACGTACAAAGAGAGAAAGAGAAAGAGAGAAGTGGGCGGTAATAAATATATATACATATACATATACAGAAGAGTGATGGAGGGAAAACTTCAAAACGAGCAAGAGAGACACACCACTTCACTTCGATGCAGCATCGCCATTGCGCACCGTCCATCCAACAAAGAAACAACAGAAGAAGAGGAAGAGAAAAAAAAAAGGCACATGATGGCAACGCAAGAAGGAGGGGCAGGCGGTAAAACCCTCAGCTAACAACAATAACAACACTAATAATAATAAGAGCACTAGAACGCAGGCGCGGCCACCGCATTGGAAAAGCAAAGAGAAAGAGAAAGAGAGGGAGGGGAAACAGAAAAAAGAACATTTCATCGGCTTGCCCGCGCAGCACCATCCGACGGAAGGCTCCATTTCTACTTCTCTTCGCGCTCCGTGCCGGCCACGTACCGCTGTGTCCTTTGCGGTTATCCCACTCCTTTAATATATATATATATCATTATCATTTCATCCCCCTTGTTTAATGAAACGTGGTTCCACAGTAACAGTGCTCTTTGGTGCACTTCGGGCGGCGCCGCCGCGGTTTGTGATCGTGTCCGCAGCCGTGCTCGCACCCATCGTGTGAATGCGCACCAGCGGCCTCGTCGTGACTGCCCACACCGCCCGCACCGCCAGACACAGGGCCACGGTGACCGTCCTCCCCGTTGTTGCCGCTGTCGTCGTCGTCGCTGCTGCTGCTACTCGAGCTATCGCTGCTGCTCTCTCCAAAGAGCTTCTTCTTGTGAAACACGCAGCAGCACTTGCTGACTTGCTGGTTCTCGGGCTCTCGCACCCGCGGGTCCCACGACACGCGCATCGTCCGCTGTCGCTCCGCCTGCTCCGTCTCCGCCGCGGTGGGGGCGGGGCGCAGGTGTAGGACAGCCGTACGTATGGGCACCACCTCATCGTTGGGGCGCGTCGCGTCCTGCCGGCGAACTGCGAGCCCGTCCATGCTAAACGCAAAACGAAGTAACAGTAGTTGTAATAGTAGTAGTAATAGCAGATCCTTGAAGGAGAGGATGGAGGAGGTGGGGAAAAAAATGAGAGGATAAAAAAACCAGGCAAACCCGACCGCCTTCAAGCCTGTGATATTTCGGGTAGCTTTTATTGGTATTACTATAATTCTTTTTCCCTCTGAAAGTAAGACACGTGTGATCCTTCTACGATGCAACCGCAGGCTTTTTATTTCCTTTCCTGTCGCGGAGTCACGAGGAGAAGCCACGAAGGTGGCAGGAGGCGTAGGAGGAAACAGAGAAAGTAATTATAATAATAATAACAAACGAGCATGAGAGGAACACGGCAGCTGATACACGTATTTTCTTTCTTCGTGTGAGTGAGTGAGTGAGTGAGTTCGTACTCCGCACGAACTTTTGCTGCGCTCCATTGCTGTTTGATGTGGTTGTTTTATCACTCCCTTGCGGAGTATACAATCAACTCTTCAACGTTAGCGGAGTGCGAGCGTCACCACGTACACACACACACAAGCTTTCCTTTCCTTCCTGCTCCATCGCTTCTGCGAACCAATGTGTTCGCCGTCTCTTCTCTTTGGTTGAGTAATATAATCGCATTGCACATCCGGGAAGAAATAAATAAAGGGGTCTCATGATACATAACACAGCGCAGCACCTCCAACAGCATTGAAGCTCCTCTAATAACAGTACTAATAACAATGTCCACATCGCCAAAACAACGAAGATCGCATGATACCATAACAGCAGACAAAGAACGAGAACAGACAAAACCAAAAGCGCCTTGGTCAGCCTTCCCTCGTCATTTCGTTGTGCCCGATCTCCCGAGCAGCGAGACGCACGCGTGCGAGGAGTTCGGCGTGGGGCCGCGCCTCATCGTCGTCTTGGCATGGGGCGGCGGCGGGGGCGAGGGGGAGGGCAGACTTCGCTTTCCCTCCGCCGGCACCGCGGCAGCGCCCACCACACCCGCGGAATAGCCCATCGGCAACGCACGCCAGGGCCTGTACGGACCGGCACTCGCAGCCCCGTCCTGGCGCGCGCGGACCAGCGGGCTGCTGCCCGTCCGCGCCAGCGTTGTCCGATGACGTGGAACGAGCGGCCCGGCGCGAAGCTCGTGTGGCTGTCGGAGCAACGTCATCGAGCGCGGCGGCAATGACGAGGCTGAGGCACCAGTAAAGGAAGATGTATCGTGTCGTGTACGTCGCTGCTCAAACTCGCGAAAGACGGCCTGCAACGGCGACACGGGGCGTTGGTCATCGGAGACGTTGCTGTCCGCCATAAGCACATCGGCGTTTATCTCCGTCAGGAAGGCCGCCGGCACGGTGGAGGACTTGTTTGGAAAGGATGCCTCCGAGTTGACGGCCCCCTCCGCCGCCGCTGTCCCGAGGCCTGCGACGAGGTTGTGGTGGTCGTCGTGGTCGTGCGCCTCTTCGATTGGGAGTGGGTGGCACAGCGTGACGGTCGGGGCGGGCGCCGAGGCAACACTTGCCAGTGACGTGGAGGAGATGGGAGAGACGTCCAACACCGCCGCGGTCGGCGCGAACGAAGAGAGCGGCGGTGCAGCAGCAGCGGCAGCGTCTGTCGCGGACAGCGGCCAGCAGCGACGCGCCTCACTCACCACCGCCGCGGCCCGGAGCTTCGTCGTCGTGCCGGCGGCCGGCGGGCGTCGAAGGCTCGGCGCGGGGAGCTGCAGCCGCGGCTCGGCAAAAGCGAAGAGAGATTGCTGCTGCATTGTTGCCTGCACCCACGCCAACCCGCTGCCGGGGGTCCGTCGTGCAAAGGCGAAGGCGCAGGAGGAGTCAGCGCTATTCGTGCCGCGCACGTCGCCGCCCGAGCGCAATTGCAGACCCACGTGGAGCAGCAGCGAACCCGCGCTAGTGCGCTGCGACAGCGCCGTGAGGCGGCCCTCCAACTCCCGCAGAAGCTGGCGGTGCACCGCAGCGGAGACGGCGGCCGCGCTGCCTGGCGGGAGCCGCACGCTCGAGTCCTCCACACTGTCCTCAGCATCGCCGCGCCGTCCGCTTCGCGAGCTGGCACTGACGCTGAAGTCCAGGCGGACGCGTACGGGGTCCTCGGCACGCTGCAGGCGAGTCCAGAGTCGGTGCAGTTCCCCCATCTCCCACTGCGTCTCCGCGTGCACCTCTGCCAGCTGCAATGCGTGACACACCTCGAAGTACTCGCCCTCCGCCGGCCCGTTCGCCGCCGCCGCCGCTGTCGTGGTCGTCGACGCGTTCGCTGCGTTCGGCGCTGCCCCTGCCTGATGCACGTGCGTCAGCGAGACACGCGAGAGCCGTCCGGTGCCCGCGTGCAGTGGTGCGCCCTCGAGCGCGCGATGGAGCAGCAGCCGCACCGCCCCTGGGAAGGTCGTCAGTCCGGGCGAGCCGTACGGGTGGAACGGCGCGTTCAGCACCTGCGCCAGGCGGGAAAGCGGATAATCGTAGACGCAGCGGACCGCCGAGGTGACGGCGGTGGTCGCGGAAGTGATTGAAATCTGACGCAGACGCCCCGCCGTGAGTGACGCCGATCGGGAGAGCAGGTAAGCGCTGGCGGCGGTGGTGCTGGTTGCTGGGGCGCCCAGCCTGCTGGGGACGAGTTGGCTGTCCACACCGCCGTCACCTCGTCTCGGCGCTGCGGTCGCGGTCGGGCTCGCATCGTCGGCCTCCGTCAACTCCCGCCGCAGCCGCTGCACCGCCATCTCCACCGCTTCCATGTAGCACTCCGCCTTGAACGCCTCAAGGGACGCGATGCTCTCCATACGCAGCGGCAGGAAACAAAGATCCTCCAGGGAGAGCTGATGAGCCCGCAGCTCCGCCGGGGAGGCGATGCCGAGCAGCAGACAGAGCAGCGGCCGCATCGTGAGCAGCTCCCCCTCCCACACCCCCGCCGGCGGCTGCACGTTCGCAACGGACATCCGTCGGACTTCCCTGAAGTCCCTGCCGCGTGTGTCGCCGTCGTCCGCCTCCAGGTGGAGCTGCGACAGGTGATGGTCGAGCAGCAGCTTCCGTATCCGCTGCTTCATGTGCGCCTTTCCCTCTTGCTCGTTGTGGCTCCTGTTGTGCACCGCACCCTCGAAGGCGCGGCGTCGGCGCTCCAGCACAATTCGCTCGTGCACGTACTCGAAGTGCAGCCGCACCGACTGCGACAGCCGCTCCAGCGATGCTGGGAGCGAGGTGCTGGGGCACAGGCTCTCGAGGCGGCCGCACGCGTACGGCGTCCAGAGCGTCACCCCACCGTCGGCGTGGCCAACGCAGAGGTAACCGTTGCGGCGACACTGCAGGGCGGTGATCGTGCGCTGCCGCAGCGCCTGCCGCTCCGCCTCCGGCAGCACCTGACCCGGCCGGCTCAGCATGTCGGCGAGGTAGTCCGGTGGGGCCCCCTCAACGTACGCATCCCACTCCACCTGCGCGCCGCCGCTGGCCTTCTCACTCGCAGGAGCAGCATCCGCAGCACCAGCAGTGGCGCTGACGAGCCTGAGTTCTGCTGCGGTGCGCCGTGCCTGCCGGTCCAGCCGCTCCCGTCGCGATCGCTCGAGCATGGCGGGTGGCGTGAGGAGACACAGCGGAGATCGGCTGGCCATGGCGACGGCGTGACGCGTAAAAAGCGGCTCCACCCAGCCCTCCGTGACGGGGTGCCGTCCGTGCCGCCCCGCCAGCGTGTCGACGGCGGCCGTGGCCGCGTAGGGCTGGCTGCCGCGCCGCTCGCAAAGAGCCGGGGCGGTGTCGCCGAAGAGCAACTCCTCCTCCACCTCCTGCACGAGGGCGTCGGCGATGGAGCGGGGTGTCGTGGCGGTCGGCGGCGCCTCATTCATCTTCGAGAGGCGCGGGACGGGCACCGTCGCCGCAGCAACGGCGTCAGCGGCAGCGTCGGACGGACGGGGTCCCGTCGCCGACTGCGTGGCCGAAAGCGGGGGGAGGGTGCCACTCGCGCTGCTGTTCGCCGAGCTGTTCGAGCGGCCGGGCTGCTGCCCCGTCGAAGACTGGCCCGCATCCGCGAAACCGACCGTTAAGGACGCGTCAGGAGCAGCAGCGACGACGACGGCGGAGCAAATCCACTCCCGCAGCAGCCGCACCGCGTCTCCGTCGAGCTCCAGCACGGTGTCTGCCAACGAACTTTCCGGATCCACAATCCCTGCAGCCACGCTGCTCCCACGATGGCCCTCAGCGGACGCGTAGGCCGCCCCGTCACCGCAAACGCTCAGCTCGCCCGCCGCGCCGCACTGCTGCGTTACGTACTCCCTCACGAGTCCGCCGCCGGCCACGGTGTCCCACCACGGCTGGGTGTCATGCACTTCGACCGAGGTCGCCACCTTGTCGCTGCGGCTGCTGCTGCCACTCTGTCTCTCGCCGGTGCTGCGCCTCATTGCGGCAGCGGCGTGCATTCGCGTGACGGCGTCGTGCAGCACAGCAGCGGCGGTGAAGAGAGTCGCAGGGGACCGCTGAAGGGCGGTGAGCAAGGCGCCGCCCGGGCTCGCATTCGAGCCGGCATCCGCAGTTGACGAAGGGCGGAACAACTCTTGCTGCGCCTCATAGAAGTGCAGCAGTGCGCTGCCGTGCGCGTCGTACGAAAGCGGTAGGGGCGCCGTGGCAGCCGGAGCCGCCTCGTCTCCGAGCGGCACACCGCCCGCGAGCCGCTCCCGCACGCTCGCCGGTGCGACACCGAAGAAAACGTGCACCAGGTTCCTCAGAAAGTTCACATGACCGCCGTCGGCGCCCTTCCGTGCAGCGGCCGCGGCGTGTGGGTCCGACAACGTCAGTGGATGACGGCAGCCCCGCCGCTGCAGCGCCGTGGCGTAGGACGTGACCGCCACGCCGTCCACCCCACGCAGGAACACCGGCGTCAGCTGAAAGGCGAGGAGCAGGCGACGGACCAGGTAAGACATGATGTAGCCCTGCGAGGTGCCCACGTAAAGCGCCGCGTACAAGGGGTCGAAGGCGAGCACCGTCACGCTGCCGAGCACGTGCACCGAGGCGCAGGTCTCATCAATCGGTGTTGTCCAGATGAGCGTGGACGACGTCGACGACGAGGAGGGAGACTGCGCCGCACTCCCACGGCCCATTCCTGTGGCGCTCGCCCCAGGCGACAGCTTCGTCAGGGCACCACCGCCCAGCAGTTGCGTCGCATCCCGCCGCAGGCGCTCCGCGAAGTCGCCAAGCATCGCCAACATACTCGCGCCCTTCACGAGGTGAAAAGAAAGTGTCCGCTGACGGTCCGCGAGGACGAGGCACGGGTAGGCACCGAGGAAGGTTGCTGCCGTCACCTCATCAGTGGTCATGAAGCTGTGCACGACTACCCCTGACTGGCTGCGGCTGGAGTCACCCACACCGTCGCCGCCCTCAGCAGCACCACCGCCGCTGGCAGCAGCGGAGGCCGCACCGAAGAAGGGCTTTTCAACGCCGTCCCCGTCGCTGGCGAACCGGCTGCCGAGCCCCGCCAACGGGTCATCGCCGCTCGCCTGCACGTCCATCACCGTCACCAACCCGCTAGCGTGGACAAGGCAGATCAAGCCCAATGGCGGGCTGGCGCTGGCGAGCAGCACGACATCCGGCTCCAGCTGTCGCGGCATCGCCGATGCGGCCGCAGAGGAAGCGGCGGCGACAAGAAAAAGACCGTCTGGCGCCCCAGCTGCGGCGATGGGGGCGGGGCTGCACGTCAGCGCAGCATCCGCAATGACGGTGGTCGAGGTTGGCGACGCGCTCGCCCGCCCTCGCGTGCCCGCTGTCCCTTCGAGCGTGTTGGTGGCGTCGGCGAGTAAAGTGGACGCGCCGCGCTGCGGCGGCGACGTGGAGGGGGCGACGCCCCTGCCCGTCTGAAAGGCGCTCGCGTCTGCGCCTGCAGTGCCCACGTCTACGTCGGTCAGCCCCGCGGATGTGATGGCACCCGTCATCAGTAGCTCCTGCAGGGACACGCTCTGGTGCGGGTGGCGGAGCTGCAGCGGTGCGTTCGGGGCCTCGCCCGCACCCGCCTTACCGTCGGCGAGTGCCATCATCCGGCTGAGGGAGGCCTGCGGCGACTGCCACTGCCGATCGAGCACCCGTCGGACCTGCTCCAAGGCGCGGTTCACCAGCGTACGTGAGACAATAACGCGCGTGGCCGTGGTGCGGTGGCCGAGCAGCGTGAAGACCCGCACGAGGCCGTCGGCGTACACGACGAAGAGCTCCTGCGACGCTTCCACGTAGAACATCGAGAGGGGCTCGCGGTGGACGTCACGGCTGCCGCTCTCGGCCATTACGCCGCCGCCGCCTGAAGCAGCAGCACCGGATGCGGCAGCGGCCGAGGACGACGCCGCGCCGGCACGTGAAGAGGCGGAGAAGGAGCCGAAGCGCTGACCGGTCTTGAGAGAGGCGAGGAGACGCTGAAGGACCACCGCGACAGCCTGCGCGTACGCCACGGGTGTCAGCTTGGATCGCGGTGACGCGTACGGGGCTTTGGCGGCGCCGGCGGCTGTTGCTGTCGCCCCGGCGGCACCGCTCTTGGACAGCACCGGTGCCGCTCGTGCAGACCTGTTCCCATTGGCAGCAGCAGCAGAGTTCACCTTCGCCGGTGCAGCCTCCAGGGCGGACGTCGACCAAGCGAACGGCGTGGATGTGGACGCAGCTGGTGACGGCGCCGACGACGAAGTGGACGATAGTGCAAACAAGTGCTCGTAGTGCAGCGCCGCCTGCAGCAGCTCCGTCATGGACGGCGGAGTGGTAATGAAGGTGTGCAGCAACCTGCCAGAGTCGGTGCGGTGGAGGCGTATCTCGCCGTGCAGAAGCGCGTAGCCGATCCATTGCCCATCCGGCCCAAGACAGGCGCAGCGGATATCGCTGGTGAGGACGTTGTGATCGCGTAGGGCGCTGGGCAGCAACAGGTCCGTGTCATCCACTTCGCCGGCGGCGAAGGCGCTGAGGTCGGCACGGCCGTTCGGGCGCGGGGCGGGGGCTGGGGGGTTGCCGCCTGCTTTGGCCGTCTTGGGCGGGTTCGGATTGCCCCTCGCGACGCCCGCCGAGGCCGCGCGAAGGGAGCCCCCGCCCACCGCGCCAGACAACGCCGCCCCACGCAGGCTGCGGGCGCGGGGGCGAGCATTGCTTGGACGCGCCGACACGGCCCGCATTACGTCCTCGACCGAGCGCGGCAGCAGCCGGCGCGCCTCCCCGGTGGTTGACGCGAGGGCTGTCAGGCTGGCGAGCGCCAGCGCTGTGGTTGCCGTGGATGCTGTCACCGCGCTTGTCGCGTTACGTGCGTTCTTGTTCGAGCGAGAGCGCACAGCGCCACCGACTCCCTCGTCGCCGTTGCCTTCCAGTTTGCTCCGCCGTGTCGCCACCCCGTCTGGCCGGCCGGTGATTCGGTGGTCGAAGAGATGGCGGTACTCAGCGTTGCTGGCGCGTATGCCGAGCTCCATCGCGCCCGTCCGCAGCGACCACACTCGGCAGTCCGCGCTGCTGAAGCTGATGAGGCGGCGGTGCAGCTGGCCGCGACCCTTCGACGCGGTGTCGATCAGAAGCGCCCGCAGCGGGTTCGTGTGGGCGCGTGCGCTGGACTGTCCGCTCATGAAGAAGCAGAGGGCGGCGTTGTTGCTGCCCATCACGTAGAGCTGCCGACTGGCGTAGTTGTAAGCGGCGGAGAGGCACGGCTGCAGGCGGCTCTCCGTCGCGTCGACAGCAGCCTCGATGCTGTGCTTTGTCGTGCGCAGCAAGGAAGAGGCGAGACCTCTGTTCTCCTTGCCGTTGCCACTGTTCGTGTCGCTGCCGGCTGCACCGGTGGCCCCTCCTTGGGTGGAGGACGCGGGGTTGCGGGCCCCGTCACCGCCGCCACCGCCTCGGCTTTCGCCAACTGCAGTGCTCTGCCCTAGAACGGGCTCGCTCGCGTTCGCCGCCTGCACGGGGGCCACGGCGTAGAAGGAGGTGAGGGGGAGGGTCTGGCGTAGCCCCCACACCTTCACGTAGCCGGTGCTGTCCACCGTCAGCAGCTGATCGAGTTCCTCCACGGCGATCACCGCCACCATGGCACCGAGGTGCGGCGAGGCAGCGTCGTACAGCTCCAGCCGCGATGAAGAGGATGGAGGGTTCGCCGCGGCGGCAGGCGAAGACGACGACGGCGACAGCGGCGGCAACGGCGGCGGCGACGCTGTCAGCGCTCTCTCCCCCCTGCCCCCCGTCCCCGCGGCTCTTCCACCGTCGACAACTGGGGCGGCCGTCGGCAGCACGGAGGTGTGGTACAAGTACACCTTGCTGGACACCGTCTGCACCGCCAGCATCGACAGGGATGGAATCGGCAGGGCGTATCGCACACCGGTCTCGCTCACTGTCAGCCGATGGAGCACCTCAATGCAGAGGAGCGGACGTTCCGCGGTGGTGGTCGTCGTGCCGTCCAGGTTGATGGCTGTGACGCCGGGACGCGCAGCGGGGAAGAGGCCGCGACCGGCTCGATTATGAGGCGAAGACGCAGCGGTGTATCCTGGGTAGCCGAGCCGCATCGTGAAGACGTCGCCGTCCAGCCCACTCGACACAAAGAGCCCGTTCGACGCCGCCGCGACGACGGAGCAGACGAGGGTGCCCGGGGCGTGCACCTGCCGCTCGTGGAGCACGAAAGGATCGATGTGGCTGTAGTACGTGCGCTGCGCCAAAGCGCGGTACCCACTCCACGCGCTGCTCGAGGATCCGATCCGCTCCGAGGTGGGCTTACCCGTGCCGCCTGCCCCATCCGTGCCACCACCGCCGCCGTTGCTGCCGCTGCTGTCACTTTGATGCACCGCGCTCAGACCGGGCGAGGGGGCGGCAGGGGTTGGGATGGCAGTGAGGCGCGGTACCTTGTGCAGGACCGCGTACAGGTCAACCAAGCACAGCGCCCCGCTGCGGGTGCCGAGGATCAGGTACTCCTGCCGCTGGATGGAGAGCCGAGAGAGCGGCCGTGACGGGCTGGTAGGCGTCGCAGCAGACGACGGTGTTGTGCCAGTGGCGCTGGCCGGCCCTTCCGCGGGCGAGGACGCGGAGGGGCCGGCGAGTGGGGTGTCCTTCTCCAGCAGCTTCACCTTCCCGTGACTGCCCCCTGCGGCCCACTCCATGCAGGTCACCGTCTCCGCACAGCGCAGCAGCCCAGCCTCCGGCAACGCCTGCACGGCCCGGTTGCTGCTGTACAGGCGGAGCAGCATGTCGTTGCCGAGGACAACGAAAACGGTCCACGGCACGTATGACGAGACGTCCTCGACGGCCATGACGGCGCGCAGGGCGACGGGCTTGGCGGGTTGGTGCATCCGCACCAGCGGCGACGATTCTCCGTCCCCCGTCGGTCCTTTCCTCCCGTAGGCCGAGGAGGAAAAGCCATTTAGGTCGTCCTCAGCTGGGTCTGACCCGCTCAGCTGCTGCAGCACACTCAGCGCCGTGGACTCCTGCAGCCGTCGCCCGTCCTCGTAGCGCATGAAGGCGCGAACAGGCCGCTGATTATTGCGCCACGGGTGCTGACGCAGTGCGGCATCGTAGCCGCCGTCAGCGGCACCACCACCACCGCCCTTTGCACCGCCCTTGCCCCCACCGCCCTTCAGCTCCGCCCCCTCCCCGCCTCCGTCTCCGTCCGCAAAAGCGCCAGCCGAGCGCAACGGTCGGCCGAAGGCGTCACGTGGCACTGCCTCCAGCTCCTTCAGCACCACCTCCACCGGACGAACTAAAAAGCGCTGATGGATGCTACCGAGCTGCGTGCCATCGCACACGGCGTAGTCCGCCACGCCCTCTAGCATCACCAGCGATGCGCTGTGCCGTACCTCGAAAACGGCGCCGGTGTAGCCGAGCCGCACCACCTCCGGCGCCAGCGGCTCGACGACGTAGCGGTCGAACACCGACGCACTGGCACGGGTCAGCTGCGCCGCGTGCTCACGCACCTTCAGCTGGTGATCTTGAATGTCCGCCTCTTCGATCAGCGCACCCGTGAGGTCCTCCCACGAGATGCAGCCGCGCTGCTCCGTGTCCACCGTGGCGAAGAAGCGCATGGCGACCTCCTCGCACATGGTGAGCAGGCGCTGAACTTCGGCGAGAAGGACAGGGTGTTGGGCGAGCTGTTGCAGGCGGTCGCGGTAGCCGCGGCGGGCCGCACGGCCGTACGCGAAGCCGAGCAGCGGCCTCTCCTGGTGCCCCAACGCGGCGGGCGACAACAGTGCAGCCCGGCCACCACCAGCAGCACTGACAGGACTCGCGTACTCGGTCTCCAGCAGCGCGTCTTCCTCGTCCGGTAGGAGCTGGCCCCATGGCACGGGCTGCCACCGCCCTGCCCGGTCCTGCTGCTGCGGGGGGCACAGCAGCTCCCAGAGGTGCAGAGCATCGTCTGGGGGCAGCGGCACCTCCATCGACTGTACCCGTTCCGGGAAGCAGCTGTGCGCGTCGGCCAGCTGAAGCGCGTAGTTTGCCCGGACGACCTCCGCCTCGCGCCGCAGCACAGGCACCGCGCGCAACGCGTACGCCGCCGTGCACTGCGCGGAGTCGGGGAAATAAAAAGGGTTGATCAACGCACTGCTGAAGAGTCCCGGCGGGAAGTGAACGGCGTAGTGGGCGAGGAAGAGGTAGCGGCTCATCACGTAGACAAAGACAGGCAATGGAAGCTGCATTTGGGTGAGGTCGGCTGGCGGTCGCAGCAGATCGGCTGCCGTCGTGCCGCCAGAACCACCTTCCGAGGCGAGCAGCCCTGTTGCACCTGTGCTGTATGCTGTGTCGCCATGCAAATACGACCCTGAAGTCTCCATTGCACTGCTCAAGGCCGCCTCATCCGCAGCGGGGCCGCTCATGTGGGCTGTCAAGACGAGCTGCAGGTCATCGTAGAGGTCCATCTCCCACGCAGCCGTCATCACGGCGGCCTCCTCGCTCGCCGTTGCCGCGGCGACACCAAAAGCATTCGCCGACGGCGACAAAAGACGGCGGCGCCGCTCAGCCGCGTTCCGCAGCGCGTCGCCCCTCGACGGCACCGCCTCCGCGTCCGCCGGTTCCGTGCCGGCCGGCAAGTCCACCGGTGTCTCGCGCCAGTACGGCGGCTTCAGCGCCGCGCACGTCGTGGCCGGCGCGACGGCTGGACTGACGGGCGTGACAGATCCCTCCCGCGGCACTTGCTCGCCGCGTCGGGTGTTGGGGCCGTGCTGCAGACGCCACACCTCGTAGCGGTAACGCTGAACCTTCTCCAGTCGCCGCTGCACGCACGCGCTGCGGTACTGTCGCACCCACTTCTGCCGTGCGCGCTGCAGATGTGCCCTCGGTACACCCGTCGGCACCGCCTCCGTGCCGTGCAGGAAGCCGTGTGCGCTGTACAGCGCGGTGCGGACAGCGACGTCGTGCGCCTGCCGCGCCGCCGCTGCCTTTTTGTCGTCATCACCGCTGTGCGCCGCCGCGCCGGTCCTCTCGCTCCTCGTGTCTTTCACTGCCTGTCCCTCGTTCAGAAATGCGCCACGTGCGAGCTCCGCCTTCATCGAGGCGGCGACGAGCTTCTTGAACTCACTCAGCTGCGCCTTTGCCGGCCAGACGCTGGTGTGGGCGTAAAAGGACTGTTGCAGGACGTCCATGTCTGCCAAGGCCATGAGCAGCATGGACGGGGGAGGGACGTGGCTGCTGGGCAGCACCAGTGCGACCTCCTGGGGATTTGCTTTCACGGACGACGGCTCCGCCGACTCCTTCACGCTCGGGGAGGTCGGCGAGTGGGAGTCGGGTGAGCAGGCGGCACGGGTCGATGACAGCATCGCTGAAGTGAGAAGCGACGTCTCTTGCGAGTTTACCTTACGTGCTGCTGTCGCAGCGGCTGGCCCGGCGGCGGCGTGGGTGGGGTTGAGTAGTTGAAAGAGGGGGTCATTGAGGACCTCGCTGAGTAGAGTGGACGGGGTTATGTGGCGCCTCAGCGCTGACGTGCGGCTCTCCCCCTGACTGGGGTGGCCACGTAGAGGGGACTGAAAGGTGGACGTGGGTGCACGGGGTGACGTGGGTGATGCCACGCTTCTTTCTGCAGTGGGGACGAGCATCGCGAAGGAAGCGTTCTCCTCGTTGGTCGACGCGGTACCCTGCCGTTCCACGGCAGCAGCAGCGGCGGCAGTGGCGTTGTCGGTAGGCATGCCTCGCCCTCACAGCACTGTGGAGTGCTCCCGGTATGAAGGGTGTCGATCAGCAGGCTCACCCGTGATGGGTGCAACAGGGCAGGCACAGGCAGAAAAAACTGGTATGTGCTTCAATTTCCAAGAAAGTCTAAAGAAAATAGCTTTTAAAAAAAAAATAGGCAGAGCTAACGTATATATAGCGAAAGACAGCAATAGTGGTGATAGTAATAGGACAGCTTTACATCGAACAAGCATTGAAGAAACGCCAAACCAAGAGCGTCGACGGGAGGACGGCAACGAGTTAGGAGAAACGACGCCCCTCTTTCGCTATACTGACGAAGAAGAAAAAAAGAAGAGAAAAGGCGCGTTACCGAAAAATGATACTAATGTGGCGGCGACAGCAACATGCACGCACACACACGAAGAAAGACAGCGGTTCAACAACAACAAAGAAAAAATGATGGATGCCTGCAGCAGTGCCGGGGCTTTCGCTCGGGGTGTTTGTTCTCGCTCTCTGTTTTTGGAGAGGGGGAGAAGGGAGGGGGGGGAAGGGCCTCAACGGACTGCTTTCACCTGCCAAAGAATCGAATATGAAAAGGCATATATACATAAATATAGATTTTTTTGTGTTATTCAAAAAGGCTGCAAATTTCAAAGATCCCCTTCCCTTTTGAGGGAAAAGAAAACGACAAACGAGGAAACCCCCGAAGAAGAATAATAATGATGATGGTGTTTGTTATTAGGACAGGTAGGGACGGAGGACGTCACACAGCTGTGAGGCGAGAACTTCAGCGAGATTCTTATGGGCGTTTTTTCTTGTCTTCTCTTTGGCGTTTTCACTCGTGTGTATATCTAAAAAAAAAAGGGAGAAAAAGATAAAGAGTTGTTGGCCCCCCGCCGATATCGTACGACGAAAAGTTCTTTTGCTCGCACCCCCTCTTTCTCTAACGATCCTCGTCGTCCGTGCCAAACTGCTGTGGTGGTGTTGGATGTTATTATTACGTGTTCTGTACTTGAGTCTTATTGTCTTCCTACGCAGCACAAAGGGCGTGGGGTGGCGTTGGCGCTGTAGCGGGCAAGGAAGAAAATATATGTATATATATTAGGAGTCCACGGGGATTTTGTTTCCCTTCGAAGTTGCTGGTGCTGACAAAAGCGGCGTGGCTGCGGTTGCCGCCCAGCACGACAGAGTACAGGGGGGGGGGGGGGCAGACGACAGAAAAACGAGGTGGAAGATGCGGACGACTCGGCGTGAGAAAAGGAGAAAGGAGCGAAGAGTTCTGCTCCTGAAACTCTGCTGATCTCTTGCGGATGACAGTAAAGCTTCTGCGAGGAAGGGTTCCAGCAGTGAGCATTGGAAGAAGAAGGCGCGGCGCATGCATGCACACACGCCCCTCTCTCTCTCTCTCGCTCTCGCAGAACACGAAACAAAAAATACGCATGTATACGCCTGCGCACGGAAGATGTGGAGCCGTAAAGGTTGTTGTCGAGACATTCAATTCCCTGTTCCTCTTCTTCTTTCTGCGGATTCTCTTTCGGATGAAGCGCTAAAAAAAAAAAGGCTGGGTGGGATTTTGGATCTGCGGAGATCCTCCACACGCCGGTGCAGGCGAGAAAGGCAAGGGGGGAAAGACAAACGAACTTACAAAGGGAGAGGTACGTAATTACTAAAACAAAAGGGAGTCAGCAAGAGAGAGAAGAGAACAACAAATGTACAAGGATGCTTATTCCCTGTTGGCGTATTCACGATAGAGCAGGGAGGCAGGGGAGAAAAGGAAAAGGCTGCGGAGGCGGTTTCCCGTTCCCTCTCTCTCCGCTGATCGCCCACCGTTTGCGCACGTGTGCTGGACGTCTCTCCCCTTCCCTCCTCCCCCTCTCTCTCTCTCCCATGCGTCTCATTGCGCCTCGGCCCCCAGCAGCGCCTCAATCGGCTCCCCAAGCGCCACATGCTGACTCGCCTCGTACTCCGTCAAGTTCGACGACACCGTGGGCAGGTCGTACCAGTAGTTCACCATTACACAGGCGCTTTCGCGGCTGCCCTGTGCGGTGGTGTTGCCCAGGTAGTTAAGCCGGTAAACCGTCGCACCGTTCGACACGTGGAAGTTGCCGACGGGGTCGTGAATGCGAGCGCTGCCGTGGCGCTTCACGTTGCACAGGTACACCGCGATGGACCGCAGCAGCGGCCCCTCTAACGCGCCTGTAAAAGCGTGGTCATTCCACCACTGCCCCGCCGCAGCAGCGGCAGCAGCGACACCGTTTCCTGCGGTGGCGGCCGGCGTGTCCGTCGGGGAGGTCTGGAAGAGGCGAAGCAGGTACCGAAGAGCCGCGACATTCGCAGCCGCAGGATCCTCTGCGACCTTGCTGGGATGACCATCGCCTTTGGGCCCCACCGCCGCTGCACTGGCAGCGACCGCCCTCGCCTCCTCTGTCAGCACCGTCGGATGCCGCAGGATGTAGCCCGCCACGGCCTCGCGCAGCGGTGCAAGGTACTGCTGCTCCTCCTCTGCCTGCGTTAACTTGGCGCCAAAGATGCCGGTCGACGCGGCCGCCGCCGTCGTTGCGTCAGTGCCACGCATCGCCTTCGTCGCCAACGCGGCCACCTCCGCCGCGAGCCACTTCACATACAAGGGGATAGGAGACAAGGTGCTGAAGGTGAGAATAGGCATCAAGTTGCACCCCTGACGACTCGCGTTGATGTTCCCTTCGATCTCCTTCACCACCCGCTTGATGAGGCGATTGCCCATGTCCATCCCACGCAGCGCACTCTGCGCGGAGTTGATGCTGTAGAAGATCGCAGTGTTCACGTTGCCGTCCGCAATCTCCGCCGCGGTCTCGCCGGCGGTGTGGGACGTCTCTGCTGCCCGTAGCTGCCGAAACAGCTCGGCAGCTTTTGTGGTGTTCGCCGGGTCGGCCAGCGGTGTCGCTCGGCCAAGGATGCGGTCGACCGAGCACGCAATGCCGTGCGTCAGCGCCACCTGCACCGCAATCAGCGGCTCCTCAACCACGGCCGGGTGCAGGAACGCAAAGAGGTGGCGGTGGTGGGTGGGCTGCAGTCGGTACCGCATGTCGTCGATGCCGTTCACGAAGGGGTGGACGCCCTCGGCCCGCATAATCTGATCCAACAGCGACGGCGGAGTCGAGAACCATGTCAGCTCCTCCATCACCAGGTACTCCTTCGCAAAGAAGTCGTGGAATAGCAAGGAAAGGGCGTTGTCGATGAGGCCGAGCTCCATCTGACGGCTCCGCCACTTGAACTGCTGCCGCACCAGGTTATCCTTCGCCTCGGCGGTGAGGTCCGACTTCGCTGGCGTCAGCTGCGTGCTGAACTCCTTAATGCGCCTCTTGCACAGCGTCTCGAAGTGATGCGCCAGCTTGCGAAAGTGCATGAGGCGGCGCAGACCGTCCGACAAGGAGGCGGTGTGGCGCAGCCACGTGTAGTAGAGCGGCGCACCGACGTTGCGGGCCTGGAAGCAGCACCGCATCACCTCCGTCTTCGCCTTCATCAGCCGTTCCGTGAACTCGCTCGCTTCGTTGGCGCGGTCCGTGGCGCACCGCGTCAACCGCACCGCCGCGAGCTGCTTCTCCTTGTCCTCCAGCTGACGCAGCTGCCCCAGGTAGACACCCAACTTCACCTCCAGATCCTTACTTGCCTGCACCACCGCCTGCAGATCAAAATCGAGCTCATTCAGCGTCGAGACGAAGGCAAAGAAGTTTTCCTCCATCTCGGGCGTGATGTTCGCCGCGGAGACGTCGTCCTGCGTCGACGGCGGCACGAGAAGGTCAAAGACGGCCCACACGTCTTCCACGATGGCGCCGGGAATGCGACCGCCGTCGCCGCGGATGGCGTGCTGTAAGCGGGCCAGGAGCGCATCGACGTCCATCGAGTCGCACGTCACCGTACTCGTTGCGGCAGGTGAAACTGCCTCATCAACAGCAGCAGCTACTGGAGTGGGAGCGGAGATCGTCGCCGCTGTGGTTGCTGCTGTTCGTGTTTCCGCCTGCCTCGCCGCCGTTGCTGCCGTCTCATCCATCACTTTGAGCTGCGCCTCGTGCAGGGGATTTGGCCGCGGCAGGAGATGCGTCGGCTGCACCGCGTCCGCAGATCGGCGGGTGATGTCCCACAGCCGTCGACACCAGCGCGCGACGCGATCCTCATTGACGTCGCCCAGGCCGCGCGTTACCGTGCGACGTGCGGCCGCATGACTTTGCTGAAGCGACGGCTGTGTCCAGTGGCTGGAGAAGCGGCAATGCGTGTCCATTGCGGCGGCCGTTGCGACCGCAGCCGATGACCGCGGCATCACGAGAGTGTGAGATACAGGAAAGCGAAACATGTTGACGAGTTGCCGTAGCTTCCTCTACAGCGTATTATTATGTTACCACACGAATTGGTAAGAACCAAGAAAAAAAAAGAGCCTTTGAAGAAGGCATAAGCGAAAAGCTATGAAAGCAGCCGCTCAGGTCGGTTCCGCAACAACAACTAACGGCAGGAAGAAAACTATTGGAGAACAGACGGCGGCTTGCGTTTGGCGAAGTTGCAGCGGCCAAAACGAAGGGACCACGAATTAAACCTATGCAAGCACGTGTCGGCTCTACTAGAACGGTCCCTTATTCTTACTTTAAAGTTTTCAGGTCGATAGCACCACCCCGCCCCGTTTCTTCTCGGGTTCTCTCTTCTTTCTTCTGCGCTAAAGAGCTCTACGACAAATGAAGGAATGAAGAGAGAAACGGAGACGATAACGTTTTCTCGCTGCCGATGTACGTCACAGCGCTCCCTGCAGCAAGACGGACAAGAAAAGGAAAAAAAGAATTGAAGGAAGAAAACCCGGTATTGGGTATTTTACAAAACCGATTTCGAGTCTCGCCTGTGCGCGTCTTACGTAGGATATAAGAAGAATACAAACGCCTAGCGTATATATATATATATGTGTCTGGGTGAGAGATTCTTCTTGGCAGCCCGAATGCGTGTAGTTCCATCCAACAAAGTAATGAAAAAAAGTAATAACCAAGAAGAGCGTCAGGCAGTTTCGACTTGGCGGGAAAGCAGGAGATTTTCACGGCAGAGGAGGAAAGTTCAGAAGAAAAAAAGGGAGCAGAACACAACGGGTTTGACTCCCACGTAGTGCGTTGAAGACACAAACGTCGCTTTTCCTTTTCCCTGGCGCACCGTGGACAAAGCGGGGGAGTTGAGGAGGTCGTGAAAGAGCCAGTGAGAAGACAGCCAACAAAGCCGTTGTTGCTGTTGTTTAGGCGCTGCCGGTCTGCTTCACGCGGCAACTTTTTGCCTGCTTTTCTGTCTCTTCGCTGTCGTACAGCACAGAACACCTCCATACCTTCCCAAGAAAACATCCGCATGCGTGTTTCAGCACGACATCATGCTGCAGTGAAGGCGCTCAGGTTCTACACGCACTTTGCTTGCTATGAATACTGCCATTATTATTCCGCGACAGCTTTCCTTGGGTTGTTACTTACAGGTAGATTGACTTAAACGTTAAGCGCATTACACAACTCTCATCATGCGTCTCTTCCACTGTGCACTTTACACTCGCTAAAGACGACAGATCTTGCAGGCGGCGGTGAAGACGCGAAAAGTGGAAGAGCGTCCCGCGCCGGCCGGCTTTCTGCCTCCGTGAGAAGGCGGTGGGGAGAGGGATGGGAATTGGGGGATGGGGATTCGCCGCGCATACACAGACACACGCACACACAAGCCTGAGACCAAAAGAAAACCACACCTGTTTACTTTCATGATTCTGTTTTCCTTTCTTTTCTCCCTCCCCCCTCAACAGCCTCCGCGTCCGCCCTCGGGGTGATTTATAGCTGAAAGGCCTGAAGCGTTGCCTGCTGTTCCGCCGAAAGCGCTGCCTGCTGCTTTGCCTGCTGCCACGCGTCTCCGTGCGCCTGCGCGAAGGGCCCCGCGCCCTCCCGCACCAGCAGCTGCTTCTCAGCCTCGTCCACCGTGCGCGCGGCGAGCGTATTCGCCACCGCCTGCACCACCGCCGGCAGCCACATCTTCGACGTCGATGACGCACCACCGGCAGCAGTGGCCGCGACGTGCGGCGCGCTAAGCAGGTAGCACACGGTGCGGATAGCGTTCGCGTTCTCCGCCTTGTCCATCTTCATGGGCAGGTGCGCCATGAGGGAAGGGATGACCTGATCCAGCGGCAGGTGCTGCAGAGGAAGACAGCGCACCAGCGAGCAAGTGGCACTCACCGCGTTGTCGACCGCCTCGGGGATCTCCTCGTCCTCGTTGCCCACAATGGACCACAAACCTTGCAAGCACCGCGGCACCAACGCGGGGTGCTGCGCAAAGTACGCCGGGCACCCCTCCACCACAATGCGAAGCAGGTACGCGCTGTTCGCCTTCGCCGTCGACTCATCCGAGCCGGCCATCACCGCGAAGCTCAGTTGCACCGCGGTGTCCATGAAAGGCGCGAGGAGCTTCTCCGAGGAAGCGGTGCTGTTACCCTGATTCGGCTGCCCAGGGCACACCGTCGCGTAGGCCTGCAGCACCGCCGCGAGCGTGCCGACGCCAGTCACTACGCCCTCCGCCGGCCGCGTCGCGACATCCGCGTGCAGAGCCAACAACGGCACGAGAAACGGCATGTACGGCTCCAGCTGCGGACCGTAGGCCTTCGCCACGCTCTCGAGCACGTCGGCCGCCGCATCCACCACGACCTCGTCGTGGTCCTCGCTCAGGTGCACCCCATGAACCACCATCTCGGGCCGCACGGTGGTGTACCACGGAGGAAGGTCACCGGGGGACGGCAGCTGCGGAGGGGCGGCGGACAGGCCGCTCTGCTGATGCTGCATCATGGCGGACATGATGGCCGTGGCCTGCGCCTCGGCGGCCTCGTCGGAGAGGCAGAACAGCGGATCCTTGCCCTGGGCGTAATACGCCTTGTCGGTGGTGGCATCATCGCCTTGGTGGCGCTGCTGATACTCCTCAAAGGTCATGTTCTGCACATCATCATCATCGTCGCTGCTGCCGAATTCGTCGCCGTCGTGCTGGCACGGCATTGTCCCGCGCAGCAGCTGCACCACATCCCGCAGCACCGCGTCCGGGCCGTCAATGCAACACTGCGTGCCAAAGTAACCGAGTAAGATGCTCACAGCCTCGCACGCGGCAGCGACGACTTCCTTCTCCGAGTCCTCCTCCTCGATGGTGCGCAGCAGCATGCCCAGCAGCTCCTCGACGCGGTCGCGCACCGGCAGCGGCAGCACGTCCTGCCCGGGCGCCGCGGCGTTGCTGCGGGCCTGCATCTCCTCCACGGGAATGCCCGCCGAGGCCTTCGCCAGCTTCGCCAAGGCAATCAGCGCATTGGACCGGATGTTCGGATAGTAGTGCGAGTCCAGCCCTGTCAGCGCCTCCCAGCACGCCGCGATCTGCTCCTCGCCAAACTGCCGCATCAAGACATCCGCAAAAACGCCCACGCTGTAGACGGCGGAGGACTTCTCCTCGACATCAGCGGTGCGCACGCGCAGGTGGATCTCCTCTGCATCGTCGCCGCCGTCCTCGTCCTCCTCCTCATCCTCGTCCTCGTATTCGTTTTTGCGTTCTCCAGCAGCCGCAGCCGCGCAGCCGTTGTCGTCTTTCCACGCGGCAAACGCGGCCAAATTCTCTGCACCGCCGCCACCGGAAGCCGCCTCCTCCTTCGCCAGCAGGTGCTTGTTCTTGTAGACGGCCCGGTCCTCCGCGATTGTCTCGAGCGCGCAGCGCAGTGAGTCGTTGAGGTAGGTGATGAAGTCCTCGCGAAAGAGCTCGCACATGTTCGCCAGAAAGCCGAAACTCTGCTCCCGCACGGCGGCGTGGCGGGTCTGCAGGTTCGCGACCACCTCCTGCATAAAAATCGGAAAATAAGGCGTGAAGGCCTCGCGGCCCATCGCGGCCCCGACCACGCCGACCGTCTCCGTCGCCTGCGCGCGCAGCGCCATCGTCTCGGGGGAGTTCAGCGTGAAGGGCTGCCGCAGCACCTCCAGCAGCTCCGCGCCGTGACGCGCGAAGGACGCCGAGCGGGTCATGCCCATCGAAGACAGCACACCGCACAGCCGGCACTGCGTCTCGAGTGTGCTGATGGGGATGGCGGCCATCACGGCCGGTAGCAGCGTCGGCACAAAGGGGTCCAAGTTCTCCTCGAGGTTCTCGCACAGCGTGTCGAGGGCCTGCGCGACGCGGCGGCGGACGAGGTCGTTGCTGTCCTGCAGCAGCGGGGTGAGCATCGGCAGCAGCTCGTCGCGGTGCAGGAGGATCTCGGGCTGCAGGTGGGCGCAGAAGTACGACAGCGCAAAGGCGGCCGCCTCGCGTGGGACGGGGTCTGCGTCGTGCAGAAGTGCCTGCGTGACGCCGAGCACGTAGCCGACGCGGCGGCGCAGGTAGCTCGCGTGGCCCTCCGCCAGGCAGGCGAGCGCGATCATCGTTGCCTTGCGCGTGCGGGCGTCGACGCTGGCTGGAGCGTCAGTCACCTTCGAGATGTACGGCAGCAGGACCGCCGTGAAGGCTTTCGAGGCGACGGTGGTGGCGAGGGCGCTGAGCAGGCGGCCGCCCACCATGCAGGCGGAGATGACGTGCAGCATATCCACATCCTCGTCGTCGTCCTCGCTGTTGCCGAAGTCCTCGCCGTCGACGTTGCCGGTGCCGTCGTCGGCGATAGAGATGGTGTTGTCCTCCGACATCAACGCCAGGCAGACCTGCACAAGTGGGTCCAGCAGCTGCGGCGAGGCGACGAACTTCGGCTTCAGCGTCGCCAGCTGGCCCAGCGCGGACCCGCTATTCTCACGCACACGGGGATGGTTTTGCGCGTTCGCCAGCAGCCGCACGAGGGCTTGCGCCAGTTCCAGTAAGAGGGCGCCGTACTTCTTGACCGTGAGATCGCAGAAGAGCTGCTCCAGCAGCTCGAGCACACTCACGCAAAGCGGGACCTTCGCCTCGACAGCGCCGCCCTGCTCCAGCACGGTGACACACGCAGGGACCACGTGGGCGAGGAAGGCGTTTCGCACTGCGGGGTGCTCGTGCAGGGCCGGCAGCAGCACCATCGCTGCCTTCACCGCCGCCGTCTGCACGACCACCTCACTATCCCCCAGTCCGCGCACCACCGACTCGGCTGCCAACCCGCTGAGGGCGTTCTCCTCCGCAAAGACCTCGCCGAAGCTGTAGAGCAGCACCATCGCCAGCTCACGCATGTCCACCCTGCTGTCCTCCGCGGCAACGCGAATCGCCTGGTGCAGCTCCGGCCAGCCACCACCGCCATGGCTGGCGTCGGCTTTCGCCAGGCGCGTCACGACGTGGGCGATGGCGAAGCGAACCGGGCGCACCGTCTCGTTACCGAGTTGCTGCAGAAGGAGCTGACGGAGCTGCTGCTGCTGCTCGACGGACAACACCCGCCAGAGAGAAAAGACTCGCTTGCGTAGCAGAACGGCGGCCATCTGCCGCGCGCCGACAGAGGCAGACGACGGCGTACCGTCTGCGCTCCCGCACAGGATCGTGACGAGCTGACCGATGTTTTGTGGCTGCTGCAGCGCCTGGGTGAGCTCGGCCTCGTTGCGGCGACGCTCCGTGTTGTCGACTCCCTGTAAGATGCTGCAAATGACGGTGCACAGCTCATCTGCCGAGTAGAGGCGGCCGCTGTTCTGGCTCTGCATCACTACTACTTAGTTTTTTTAGTTATCTTATGTTACTATCCACTCAATGCACTGAATCGTTCGACTCCGCAAACGTGTTTCGCGGTACACAGAAATGAAGCGCTCTGGCGGATGTTCCAGCACGAGAGCCGTCCTTGCCTTCTCTGGAAGTGTGTGTGCGTGCGTGAATGAGTATTTGCGCTTCGCAGCCTTCTTATCTGAAGTCTCTGCTGTCAAGAACCAAGCAAGGCAATATACAGATAAATAGATACATATATGTTTTCGAGAAAGAGTGAATCAGAAGCGGAAGAGAGCACCGGAAGACAAGAGATGGCAAATTGCTGTGAAGAGAGAAATGAGGAGCTGTAGCACCAACAGCAGCATCAACAGCAAAGAAAAGGGCAAAAAAGCTTCGGCACCAGAGCGTATCAACGAGTGCTTCTGTTCAACGCTTTCGAATTGAATGAAATCGAAAGTGGAACGCCAGGAGCGGCGTAGTTGGGGTAGCGCGTTCTCCTCCGTGTTTAGCGCCAACCGCCCTTTTTGGAGCTTTGTCTCTTCCTTGTGCGTGTGTGTGTGCACACGTTCGTTGCTCTTCTCCGTAGAGCAGAGAAGGCCCCGCCGTGGTGTGTGTGTCAGAGAGAAGAGGAAAGTAAGAAAGGCCGTGCGAGCGAGCAGCCGAGCTTGTCGAGAAACTCACGTGTCTTTTCTTTCTCCATTTCTTCCTTGCGTGTCAACGCAGCGGAAGTCGTCGGTTTGGTTGCCGCACATCGTCGCCGACAAGTGCGACGTGCAGCGGGGCGTCCAGCATCGTGCGCAGATAACGCCGCGCACACAGCAAACACTCCATCGTGTCTGCCGGGGGTTCCTCCGTGCAGGTGTCTCCGACGTGGTCGGGTGCGCTCTCTTCACGGTCGTCGACACCGCGGTGCACGGAGACGTCTAGCACAGTCGAGAGCAGCACGGGGCGCGGCGAGGACGAAGACGTTCGCGCGTCCTCTCGCTGCGCCTCCTCTGTCTGCTCCGATTGCCGCAGCAACATGGCCTGCCGTGCGTGATGATAGCATGAAGTATGCATGAGATGCCGGCAGCGAGGGTACACCGTAAACGGACGCGCCAAGGCCGGCTGCCCACACAGCACACAGCGCTCCTCCAACTGCATCGGTAGCGGCTGGTGCGACATCACCAGCAACTCGCGTTGCAGGACGCGGGAGTCGCGACCGAGTGCGGCCGTGTTCGCGCGCAGCCCGCGCATCTTGCGCGACAACTCCCGCACAGAGCTGAGCAGCTCCTCCTTGAGCTCCGCCATGAACAGCGAGTCTGGAAGCTCCGGCAGCACGTCCGTCACGTTGAAATCATCGCCGCCACTGCGCAGGCTCAGCTGCAGGGCCGTTTGCGCGCCGTGCTTCGTGTTGCCGCCGCCCTGAATTAAGTAGTGCGCCACGAGCATCCACAACTCACGCCGCGTGCGCCGCACCTCTTGCCGCTGCGTGTACTCATTGCCCGCCTCGCCGCAGTGCGGCGCTGCTGCTGCTGCCGCCGTCGCGAGTGTAGCGGAATGCAGCGCGCCGGTATTCGCCTCGCGTCGCCGCGCCGCCTGCTCGTGTCGGCGGTCTCGGTCATACAGAAGCTGCAGCAGCCGCACCGCGAGCCGCACCCCCTCTTCGCCCACTACAAACTTCAGCGACAGCTGCACGGCCTCGCGGGGGAAGCCAAGTGCGTAGTACATCCACACACAGCCCACCCATCGGCGGTGCGTGGCGCACAGACGCAGCACGTGCAGGAGGCTGTAGGACGAGGTGGCGGTGGACGACGACGTTGACGACGAGCCCAATGCGTCTGTCTGAGCTAGGTGTTGCAGCGCCGTCTGCTCCGTAAACTTCTGCAGTGCTGCCTCGTCACCGTCACGGGCCAGCGTGTTGACGTACGCCACAAAAATGGCGACATCTGCGCCGTCACCGTCGAGGTGGTTCGCCGGTACGCCGTGGGGCACAACGAGGTCTTCCAGGTAGCACAGAACAGCGTGCTGAGGAACGGAGAGGAGGGGATCGCTGCTGCTGCTGCCGCCGCTTGCGTCGCCGTGTTTCGTGCCCGTCTCCTTCTCCGCTGCCTCGTCTGGATCGTTTGCCTGCGCTGCGGCAACGATGGTGGGGGTCAGCGCAGGAGTGAGGGCATCGCGCAGTCGCATCTGCCGCGTACGTCGCACCCGCGCGCCGGTGCGCTCGTCATCTCCGGCATCACCGCCACCCCCTCCTCTGCTGTACGCCATGAGCGGCGGGAAAGCATCCGCATCGGCGTCGCTGTCCTCATCGTCTTCCGTGAGGGATTCCGCCCCGTCACGGAGGTCAGTCGACTTGGAAGAGGACGCGGAGGTGGACGCAGAGGTGGTGGCCGTCTCACCATCCACCGCATCGCTCGAAGTAGAAGAAGAGCGCGAAGACGAATAATAAACTGAGGAGCTCGACGAAAGCGGGGAGCGAGCAGCAGCGATAGCTGCAGTGACAGCGGTGGGTGGACCTGCGTCGTGACTGCCGTGCAACAGATTTTGTGCGGCCACATTTTGGCTCCTACTTCTGCTTCTGTTGCTGCTGCTGCTGCTATCATCGTCACTGCTACGGATGTCGCGGTGGCCTTCACGGCTCGAGGCAGATGGTGCGGTGGAGGCCTTCACAGACCCCACTGACGCATCCGCTTTATCGGAGGACGGACGTGATGAGTCCTTCAGTTTCTCTCGTCGTTCTTCCGCGTTGATGCCGTTGTCGGTGCCTCTTCCACTCGCATCCGGCAGAGCGCCATCCACGAAAAGCCCCGCCTTGCGTCCGCGCCTGCGCAGCGATGCTGTTGTAGCGACCGCGGAAGACGAACCGCGGCGGCCGGTGTGCGACGTGGAGGAGGTGGACGGCGAATGCACATCTGACAGGACGATGTTCGTATCCACGTCTCCGCCGTCTTCTTCCTTGCTGGTCGAGGCATCGAACACAATCTCGTCGTACTCCTTGATGTCGCCACTCTCGTCCAGCAGCGGCACCAGCGACAGGGGTTGACTTGGCCGTCGTGGTTGCGGCGGCGGCGCAGGTACGGGCGCTGCGTGGTCCCTCGGCAATGTGCCGTCCGCTTCGTAGGCGCGGGTGTCGTCGTGAGAGATGCTGAATGAGAGAGACAACGACGTTGATGAAGAGGTGGCAGCGGTTGTGGCGGAGCTGAAAGATGCTGGGAGAGACGGCTCGACGCCGTGCTTTGCTGCAAGAGAACTGGCATGGGAAGTGGACGTAGGCGGCGCCGCTGCCACTGGGCTGATGCTCTTCGTCTCTTCTCGTCCCCCGCCCTTTCCTTGTTTCTGGTGCTCGTCTTTCTCGTTTGTATCCTCCTCCGCAGGATCAGCGGCGCTCCCTTCCCTCTCCTGTGATGCCCCTCCCCCTTCATGCGTGCCAGCAGGCTCCCGACTCGGTGCTGTCCGCTCTGTTTTCGTCCTTCTTCTATTGCCTGCCTTCACGTGCGCCGTGTGTGAAACCAGCTGTCGTCCTCGCTGCTGCTGTTGCTGCTGCGCACGTCGCGCCAGCGCCAGCGCCCGCAACACCACACTGGGGTGTCCCGTTGCCTCGAAGACGCTTTCGTTATTCGCCAACGAGTACGTCAGCAGCGCAGGCAGCAGGCGCCGCGGCGGCAGCGGCACGTCCTGTCGCTCGTGCAGGAGCACCAGTAGGCCTTCCTGCACGAAGCGACTCGGGTAGCAGCAGAGGAAGAGGGTGGAAAAGCGCTCAAACAGAGATGCCAAGGTGCGAGGGAGGGCCGCTGCATCACGGGGAGCAGGCAGCGGCAGCGAGGACGACGAAGCGACGCCCGCACGCCCACTTATTTCAGAAGCGGGCCCACTATTCCCGTAGAACACAGTCGTAAGCGGCATCGTTCCGGCGGCCGTGAGGTCGCCCCCTCCGCTTGTATTACCACTCCCGGAGCGGTGACGAAGAGCGTTGGCACTGATGAGGGACTGCAGCAGGTGGCGTGTCTGCGCAGATTGCGAGATGGGGTCCTCCAGCAACGCCTCCAGCCGCAGCAGGCCAGCAAAATAATTTTGCTCACGTAGCACCAAACTCATGACGGTCTTCTCCGGCGACCCCTCCAGCTCCGACACAAGGACGGCCTCGTGGGAAGAGGCGAGGCGCGCCACCGAGGTGGACAGCACCGCCCCGTCCACAAAACGGCTGTAGCGCAGCAATGTGTCCTCGAGCAAGGCGACTGGATGGTCAAGGTGGTAGCGGCGACGAATCCACGCCACACGTGTAAAGTCAGGCGATGGCGGCATTCCAGCTTCCTGGTCCTTCACGCTCGCTCTATTCAAATACAAAAGTTTGTCTTCTCTTCGTTTCTTGTCGTTGCTGCCGCCGCTGCTTTCATTCCTGATACCTGCGGGTGCGCCAGTGTTGCTCTCTCGGTCACCTGCGGAGTCACCGCCTGCCTCGTAGCGCAGCCGCTGCGCACGTGCCGTACTGCACTGCTCCAGATGCACCGACAGCAGCCACGTCGTCAGCACGGACACCTCCATGCCGTGCCCACCGACGCCGAGCGCGGAGGCCTCCATCGCACGCAGGCGCAGATGCAGAAACACCACCAGGGGCTCCAGGGAATCGCTGGCGCGAAACGCGCGGACGAGCTCGATGAGGATCGTCGTGACGGGTGTCGGGCCGTCGACGGCCTTGCCAAACTGCACCGCCGCCTCAAGGAAGCGCTGCTGCGAGAGCAGGAAGCCGCCGTAGGCATGGCGAACAAGGCCCAGTAGAAGCACGTCTTCCCGCGTCACCACACGACACCGCGCCGCCGGTGATGCCGGTGATGACGACGGCGCTGACGTCGCGGAGGAAGTCCCGTGGGTTGCGCAGGCGGCGGCCGCCAAGGCCAGCTCGTACAGATGGTCCACGCAGTAGTAATCTGCACCGACTGGCAGTTGCAGGAGCCAACTCGCGACAGCACGGTTGGACACTCGGGCCAGCGACGTCAGTCCTGCCGAGCCAGGCAACACGCCGAAGCCGGGGACGTTCACGGCGCGGGTACGGTCGGCGGCGTGCGTGGCGCGTGAAGAAGACGGCTTATGACAACGAAGAGACGAGGCGCAGCCGGCCTCGACGTGGGTGCCCCTCCGGCCGCCTCCCCCGTCGCCGCTCGTCGTCGCGCTGCGCTGTAGAAGAAAGTGCAGAAGGGGATTCTCACGGAGAAAGGAGACGATATCACCGTCTTCGGCGTCGCTGCTCACCCCTAACGCAGCCATCGTAGCCGCAGCAGCGGTAATACTGGGGCCGGCACCTGTTGTGTGCTGCCTGACCTTCGATGCACCTGCAGAAGTACCCGCACTGGCGTAGGAGGGCGGCGGCCCGTCGTGCATGGGTTGGGATGTGTGCCGAGAAGCCGCGCCGTAGCGCACTTCTGCGTTGGTAGCCGGTCCGTGCGAAGCGGAAACAGAGGTGAGGGGGTCGGTGGTCTGACGCTGCAGAGGGGGCACCAACGGTGAGCTCTGGTGAGGTGCGCCCAGAGCGTGCCGTGGCAGCGCCTGAACGTCGCTGCGGGTCCCGGCGAAGCTCCCCCGCGGTGAGGCACGAATGTCGGCGTTGTTCAGCGGCTCAGATGGCGTCTGTGGAGTGAAAAGGGGGCCCGCTGCTACCCCTCCTGGCCTACGCGCCTGCGTCGCACTCCCTACACCTATCAGAGGCGTCGCGGCAGAGGCTGCTGCAGGACTGCGTCGGCGCTGCGGGGCGTCGTCGGCGTCGTCGCGGCCGAGGGACACCGTCGGCAGTAGTGCTTGTCGATTTGAGTGGCGCAGGAAGTGCTGCGCGGCGCTCACCGGCGCCTGGGGTCGGGTCACCGCCGTGATGCTCAGCGCCTGTGGCAGCGCACCGGTGTTGTCGTCCGCCACCACCGCCGTCGTAGACGTCGCTCTGGTGGCGGTCGTGGTGGTGGTGGTGGTGGTCGGCGCGGACGGCACGAGATTCGTCATGCGTGTTGCGCAGCCAACGCTTAGCGCAAGGGGATCGATGCTTTGCGACGCGCTGCGTGTGGTGGGGGTAGGAGTCGTGTCGGCGGTCGAGGAGGGAAGGCGCGGGGGAAGGTGGCTTGAGTTGGAGCGCGAGGAGCGCCATGACACGCTCGCGCCGTCCCCGTGCGAGGCGGTGCGATATGTGCGGCGGCTGCTGTTATCGTCGTGGTGCTGACCTCGCCGTCCGCTATGAAGGTCATCCGCATCCTTTTCGTTAGCATCGTAGTCATCCATGTGGTGTCTCAGTCCATGCCTCGTGGAGCGCACCGCGTCTATCACCGCCGTTTCCTCGATATCCTTCTTTAACAAGCCCCTCAGCCGCACTTCGTAGGACATGGAGGAGGGCACGACCACCGCTGTTTCGGTTGCTGATGATGATTCTTTGAAAGCCTCCGCTGTCGCAGCCGATATGGACTGCCCGAGAGCTGCCCCAACACCACCGTCCTCTACCGTCGTTTTATTGCCGCCTGCGTCTCCTGTTGAGTGCGCGATGGTCTGCTGCGTGACCGCCGCCGCCGCCCCTCCCGCCTTTGCCAGCAGCTGTACCACAAACTGCTTCCGTCCTGCGGCGGAGGAGTGCAGTGAGAGGGTCTGCAGACGCACCATGCGAGCACGACTCGCAAGGTAAAACACGTCCGGCGCGGCAGGGTCTGCCATGACGGTGAAGAGCGGCGGCGGTGGTGGTGCGGCAGCATCCGCAGCGATAGGGGACGCAGGTGGCGGACTTCCCGCCGGCGTCGTCGCAGCGCGTGCCGTCACGGCGTGGTACACCAGTTCCCGGCGCCACTGCAGGGCCGCCTCCATCAGCGGTAAAACCGCCGCGTGCGCCACCACGTAGACGCCTTGGGTCGTGGTGAGCGTGATGTGAGTGTAGCTCGCCGACATGCTCACCAGCAGCTCCCCGCGGGGATCGAGTGTCACGCCGTCCGCATCCAACGCGAGAGCCGTCGGCGCGGCAGGGCCTGCGTCAAGTCGAGCCGGCAGGTCAACGGCTGCCTCCGCCGCTGCTATGGTCGCTGCCGCCCTAGTGCGCAGGACTTTCTCTACCGGTGCGCCAAAGAGCACAGGAGAGCGGCGGACGTAGGCGCGGCCAACAGCACACAGCCGACGCACCGTTGCTGCGCTGACATCACCTCGCGCCAGCGCAGCACTCAGCAGTGGGATGTGGAGAGAGGGGCCGAGCAGCGCAGAGGGTCGAGGGGAGTCGGTGCTTCTCCTGTGCGCAGCGTGGTAGTTTGGAAAAGCGTACTTCCTGTTGCCGTCGCCGGGATTCTCTTGTACTGCCGCCGTCGGTGAAGTCAAGTGGGCCGACTGCCACGTTGATTGCTGGCCGGTGTGTCGGTGGCGGTGGTGGCGGTGACGGCGGCTGGCGACATCGTCTGCTGCCCCCGTCGCACTGTCCGAACGGCTCCTTCGCAGGTTGTCCAGTTGAAGTCGCGAAGTCCAGGGGAACTGCAGCGAAGGATGTCGCAGCGCCGCTGCCTCCGCCGCCTCCTTGCTGCCCCATCCCGCAACGCCGCCCTGTGCGTTGCCGCTTGTGGGGACCGCCGCCGAAGAGACGCCATCAATTTCGCCGCTCGATGCGGGGGCTGGCGTGAGGGCGGTGGTGCGCACGGTGCACTGCGCGTACGTCAGCCCTCGAGGCCTTTCCTTACTATCCTGCTCTGGCCCACGCTCCCTACCGCCACGCATCACGGACGTCGCGTCCAGCAATCCACGCAGCGACTGAAGGCAGCTGTTGAGGTTGATGACGGACAAAAGACCAATCGGCAGCAACGCGGGTTGCGTGGCGCACGAAGCGCGCGGTGATTTCCTCTGCTGTGAAGTTGCTGCAGCGACGCTTGGGTGACCGGCAGCTATTTGCCGTGTGGCCCCGGAGGACGGTGAGGTGGGACGCAGAGAAGCATACGCACCTTGCCCACTCGCGCCATCCTTGCTGTCCGCTGCTGTCGTCCTTGCGCCGTCAGCAAACGAGTTAAGGTCCTGGGTGTCGTGCAAAGCGTCCTGGATGATCGCCGTCAGACCAGCCTCCAAGCCAGACGCGGGTGCAGTCCTCTTTGAATACACCGCAGGAAGGACTGCATCTAGTTGAGCGCTGCCGCTTCCTCCGCGGCTTCGCGCCATCGTAGGGGGAGCAGTAGACTTCGTCATCGTCGTCATCGCGGCAGCAGCGGAAGCACTCGCAAAGGTCTGTCTATCGCGGTGGACCAGTTCGCCCACCTTGGCCCCCACCTCCAGCCCGCCTGCGCCGCAGAGGACAAGGCCCTGCACCACCACATCGCCGTACTGCCAGTAGAACACAGGAGCCAGCGCCGCCGGGGTGACCAAACCACCACCGCACCCCTTCGCGGGCCGTGCTGCGTGGTTGATTGAAGAGGGGTGGGACGGGGGTAAGACGAGGTGAAGGGTCCCGCGCGTGTTCGACTCTACAAGGAAAGGCGAAGCCGCAGAAGCTGCCCAGCCCGGAGAAGCGGCGAGTGCGTCCTTCGACGTGGAAGATCTCGCGTCTTCTTCGCCTGGTCTGCCGAGCCCGTTCGATGCGTTCGCTCCGGCTGAACCGGCCCGAATGGACGCCAAGCCTGCAGAGCTGTCCTCCGCCTTTGCGATCATCGCTGCCGCCTCTGCTGCCGCCGCCACGTCCGGCGAGGCGGTGTGCACCTTCGAGGCACCGCAGCTGTAGCCCGTAGCGGTGTACTCGCTGAAGGCGGACGGCTCAAGGGTGATATAGTTGTGCAGGCGTTCGGCTGACGGCGCAGCCATGATCAACGTCTGCGCTGTCGGTGACGGTCGGTCCAACTCCGTGATGGCGCTCAGGTTTCCCGTCGTCGGCGGCTGTGTGGACGGAAACGACGACGGCGGCGCGACGTTCCATGACGTTGCGCGCTTCCCCTCGTTGCCCTGGCCGTATGGACCGCCGACATCACGCAGAGGATCGTCGGAGTAGAGCAGAAACGCGTCTTCGATTCGGCCGCTCAGGCGGTGCGCCGCGGCCTTAAAGGAGCCGCCCAGCAGCGGGAGAGACGAGGCGGTGGGGCTGCTCCCTGCACCGCCGACGACACCACCGACCCCCACCGTGCGTGAGGCCTCACGAGTCTCCATGAACTGTGAAAAGTCAAGCGTTGTGCCCGGCGAGGCGAAGACGTAGAGGCGATTCCGGACAGACAGCAGCACCACCCAGCGTCGACGCTCGGAGAAGGCGGAACCGCGATACCCCGCAGCGGTGCTGTGGTCATCGCGTGTATCAGCGGCGGGTGTGGAGGTGGTGGGCAGCGGCTCGCGCATCTCCTGCTGCCGCTCCTCATCGGCGGAGAGGAGGTGCGGGGTGTGAGTGTAGGTCGAAAAGGTATAAGTTGTGTCGTCGTCGCCATCGTCGCCTCGGTCGGCAGGGTCTGGTCGCGATGGCACCGCACATCCCCAACGAACGTGTCGCGGAGACGACGGCGGCACACCGCCTGCACCTCTGCCCTGGTGGCTGCTGCTCTCCGTCACATCGCGGTGGACCTCATCGTGCGGGTCCCCCGTGCCGTTGGGGTCGAACGACACAGCAGGGGCACAGATGGCGGCGATGGCGTCAATGGGCGCCTGTGCAACGGGGGCAGGAAAGGTAAACACCACTCGGCCCTCCACGGCTCCGGTGGGGGTCAGCCGGCAGGCGACGAGGCTGCCCCCCTCACGAGCTCCCAGCAGCGCCTCCACCGCAGTGTCGGAGGGACAAGACGTGGCTGTGGGTGCAGGCGTCGCTGGGGTGGTGGTGGTGAAGGCCAGATGCTTGGACGCTCCGTGCGAGGCGGGCGGCCGACCGTCGGTCTTGAGGATTCCGCGTGGACTGGATGCTGCCGGCACGAAGGAGGCCGTCGCCCTCGCCGCCGTCGTCGTCGTCACAGCAGCAGCAGTCGCGTCTGCAGAGGTCGGGGCGACGTGTCGACTCCACCCCACGCACGACGGCACAACACTGCGAGTCGCCGAACCTGCCGCGTTGACCGCCGTGGCTGCTGCGCCTGCCGAAGACGAGGAGGACCACGGAAGCCCGCAGGTGAGGCTGAAGCCGCGCGGATGGTAATGCGTGTCGCCATCGCGCACGCTGCCAGCGTCGTCCACCCCACCACCACCGCCGTCGTCGTCGTTGTCGCTGGCGGAGCGGCGTCGGCGGCTAAGACGCAACCACCGCCGCGCCGCCGCCTTCCACTCTCGGTGACGCTCCTGCCGCCGCCGTCGCCGCTTTTCGCCGTCCCCGTCGCCGTCGTCATCGTCATCCTCGCCCCTCTCCTCACTTCCTGATGCTCCTTTGGAGCGTGCGTCGGCCGCTGTGGTGGTCGTGGTGGCGTTAGTGCCATCAGGCCCCGCCCTTGTGACGGCAGAGGGCCGCCGAGGGACGTAGTAATACACGCACTTGCCCGACGCAAAAGCCAGCACGCAGTAGTGCCCCGACGGGTCCAGCCACAGCTGCTGCACCGTGTCGCCGGCGTCGATGGTGCAGGCGATAACGCGCACAGAGGCAGCATTCGCGGGGGAGGCGGAGGCATCGGATAGCGCATAGGCCGCATTGCCAAGGCCCATCTGTGTCCCCGCAAAAGACTGCCGCAGTGACGCTGCGTCCTCGTCTGCGTGCCCGGCGCGGACGCCGCTGCCGGCAACCGTGTACGACGTCCCACCCAACACGCTGGACGAGATTGGCAAGTTGTTCAGCTGATCAAACACGTACAGCACCTGCGGTACGGTGGTCGTGACCACCGCAAACACCTCCGCCGCCGCCACCACGTGCGCCACTGGGTCGGCCTGTAGGTCCAACGGGCATAGCACCGGCTCCTCCTGCACCCCGAGCTGTGCGGGGAGCGAGAGGAAGGTGGCTCGAAGCTCACGCGCGTGCCGTGCAGCCGCAACAGCAGCATCTTCGCCGCACTTGCCGTTGCTGGACACACTCGACCACCCACCAAGAGAAAAATCGTCGTCCGCATCCACATCATCGAAGTAGGCCTCCGCGCTGTCGGAGTCGCTGCCACAGAGTTCGTTAAACTCGTTTACTGCATCCCCCGCTGCAAGTATGTGCATCGGAGAGTGAGTGCCGTGACGGTGACGCTGTCGGCCGCGATGCGGTGGCTGCCCATCGCTCTGCGAGGTAGCGCCGGACAGACTGGCGGGAAAAGACGATGCTCCACGCGGCGCGGAATCGCGAAGAAGATTTGTGCTATCGGTTGCACGCGTCCGATGCTCCTGCGGCGGCGGCGGCAGATGCGAGCTCGCACTACTCGTCGCCGTCGCTGCCGCCGTCAGCTGCACGGGTGACCCTTTGTGGAGGGACCTGACCAGCGCGGCCACGCTTGCGCAGGCGTCGCGGTCGCTGGTGAGGGTGTCACCGCTGAGACGGTCTAGCAGCAGCTCGCGGGCGCGGTGCTGGACGTGGCGGTGCAACGCACTCGGCGAAAGATTGTCCAAATCGGTGCCGCGGCCTCCACCGAGGCGGTCTCTTTGAGGTTGATAAGGCGAGGACGAAGCGGCGCTGCTGTGCTGGTCGTTCTCGAAGTCACCCTCGTCGCTCCCGCCGAGGGGACAGGAGGGAAACAGAAGCGCCGGATCGTACCACTGCAGACCTTCTCCGCATGTATACATGTTGTTGCTGCTGGGGGCTGTGTTTGTACGAGGAGGTATGAAGCAGTTCGAAGAGCAAACGTGCTACCCGTACCGCCATCCACGTTCTCATGCAGACGCGGAGGAGGAAGAATCAACACACACACAAACACACACACGCAGAGAGAGAAATCAAAAGGTCCTCACAGATCGCCGTCAAGGCAAGAAATAAGATGAAAAGAAAAAGGTCTTCTATATATATATATATATAGATAGATAGATAGATAGATAGATAGATATAGATATAGATATTGATGTTGGTATTGACGACAGCTTGGGAGGGTGCAATTGCACAACAGAGAGCACAGCATTGTGTGGGTATCTTCTTGAGAGTACTCTATCCTGCGCTTCTCCAGGTTCACTTCGAGGAAGAGACAGTTCGATATCCACGCGATGCAGGTATTTGCTTTTCATCGAATCGACAACAATTAATTTTGGGTTGTTTGTGTTTAGGAGGGAGGAAGAGAAAGAAGGGGAGGTTCGAGAACGTGTGCGTGAGCGAGGAAAGATGAGGCAAGGAGAGAGTGAGTTGGCGAACGCAAGACGGCAGATCGAGAACGATTGCACGACGACCGCAGTTTACACCTTTTTCCCTTCTTTGCGGAGCGGAGGTGTCGATTGCACTCATTCACGCATGCGTCAAGAAGATCCGGTGAGTAAAACACGCTTCGGACCTTTTGATAAAAAAGCTTTTACGCAAAAGAAAGAAGTATTTGCCGATACAAACAAACGGCAGCACGTACTACTCCACCCGATGACATCGCCTGTTGATGTGTCCTAACGCGTTACAACGCCTTCTCCGTTCAAATAAATATATAGTCTAGCGTGAATCTAAGGAAATCAGTAGAAGCAAAAATCTAGCAGGAAGAGAAAGTGGTCCTACTCACAGAACGCCGCCGGCGCTCGCTCGTCGACGGGCCAGTATCCGTTCGTGTGCCCGACGCATCGTCTCGCTCTCCTGCTGAAAAGCCGCCCTGGATGCTGCGTAGTCATCCGCATTTTCAGAAGAGGTGCTTGCGACTGCGCTAAGAACGGGAGATGGCGACGCAGCCGATGGGGCAGAAACTGCGGTGAGCGTGCTACCGCGAAGTGTGCACGAAGGAACCTCAGTTGACACAGAGCAGCGACTTTGCGATGCATCGTCCGGCTCCTCCGCACCCACGACTGCTGCTGAGCTATCAACGAAGGCAGGCGGGTGCGCCTCCCCGGACGCCACGGATGACGCGTCGTGCGCAGACACAACGGAGATTTGCGGAGACGACGCACGCGATACGGACCTTCTCGACGCCGGTTTGAGATCTTCCGACGGCTTTCCGAGCAGCGCACGGACAAGCTTCTCACGGAGCTGCCGCACAGCTCTCCAGTTCACAGGTCCGGCTTGAAAGAGCGGCTTGTTGCGGTCGTCCTTCACACGTCGAAGCAGCCGCAACGTCTGTGTGCTGCCGGTGCTGCGGCGGCCGCTCTCCAGAACTCTGTCCAGCAACTGAATGCGCGACAGGAGACGCTGCTGCTGCTGTTGCTCGATCAGAGAGGCCGACGCGCTTTCATGCTCGTTGCCGCTTCTTCGTTTCGCATTCATGGAGGCGACGCTGGTGAACGCAGAGGCAGCCGGCGTTGCTGTCGTTGCACTGGTGGTATCAGAATGGAGGGATGACGCGACTCTCGTGGTGGTGGTGGTCGTCGTCGTCATGCTCGCCGTCGCATTGGCGAAGGAGGGTGTCCTTCTAACGTGCCCGAGGCTCTTCTCCAATGGACAGGGTGGGTTCGAAGCGCATAGCGCTGCGGCATCGCACGAGCCCGCGAGCGGGCACGCCGCGAAGATCGAAGTGACGGAGCGCCGTGACGGAGCAGCTCGAGGGAATGCGTTGTGGGGACGTTGCATCTTAGTATCTGCTGCACAGACTTGGGAGTCAGCCGATGCACAGGTGGCGGTGTTGGTGGTGGTGGTGATCGAGTGGCACGGTTCCAGTGCTGAGGCGACGATGGGCAGCACTGGTCTCAAGGATGACGATGAAGATGAGCTCGAAGACACGGACACGGCGGACACGGACGAGGCGGTGTCAGCTGTTGGTGTATGTGCATCTTTACTCACCACCGGTGCTCCAGGGAGACGCGTCCCAGCCTTCCCCACGTTGCTCCCCCACGCCCTGGCAATGAGATCGTCAAACGGAGTTGTGGAGACGACCATGCTCGTGAAGAGCGACACGGCGGCATCAGCATCAGTGGCGTGGGTGGCAGCAGGTGTGGACGAGTCTGTGGAAACCGCACGCTCCACCACCGCGTCACGAGAGGAGGAGAGGGCACGTTTCCCAGCGTGTTCCGCGTTGACTTGCTCATTCACGTTTCGCTCACCAAGGAGGTATCGACCGGGAGAGGCAGCAGAAGCAGACGGCGGCGGCGCATCGATACGCACCTCTCCTTCGCCTCGCTGTTCAGACTGCAATGAAGGAACACTGGGTGGTGAAGCACGGCAAGGTTGTTCGGCCTGCCACGATGAGTTCCGCAGAGCGGCCTGGATGCGTCGTATGTGGTCACGGTAGCTGTCTCCGCTTTCGGCGCCACAGTCCGACATATCCACAAAGCACCTCCCGTAACAGAGAACGAGAAATTTTAAAATAAATGGAAAAGAATGGAGAAGAAAACCCCAAGGTCACCAACTCGTCGTTCCCTTTCTTTCATTAAAGGGCCGCGCAAAGAACCAGATTGGCACGCAGCAAGTCGGCAACAACAATGCGCAACGGCGGTGCCGGTGCTTGCAATACAGAACGGAAGAACGAAGAACGGGAGTGCGCGCAGGCCTCTTTTTACGCCTCTGTCCAACGTACGTGTGTGTGTGTGTGTTCGGGTAGGTGGATGCACCATGAGGTGCCTAGGAAAGGAGTAGATGTAAAAGGAAGAGGGACCGCAATGGTAGAGTACGTGCGGGTGTGTGTGTGTGTGTGAGCGAGTAAGTTTCTTCGCAGTGTTTCCAACAGCACCTGCCAAGCTGGACTCTACAGCTCCCCATCGACACCGTTTACGCAATTCATGAAAGACATTACCCGTAGCACCTGTGAGAGAAGAAAAGAGGGGGGAGAGCAGGGCGTGCGGTGCAACGCTCCGCTGTGTAGGGGGGCTGCGGACGCCAGTGCCCGGCGCTGTTCTTTCCAGTCCCATCTCAAAGTGCATGCAGCAACACTCGAAGGGGGATAAGAGAGCTGTACTGCCGTCGTCGCTTTCCCAGTTTTATCAGCCAACATTGTTGCCGCTGATGTCTCTGCAATTTGTTCTCCTCTTGCTTCTTTTCTTATGTTTTGTTTTCCTTTTCTTATTGGTATTATCGAGGTGCGTTGCCTATTTTTTTGGGGGGGAGGGGGGGGGGCAACACGCATCATTGCCGGGCGTGCACGCAAGCAACTCAATGTACATCAGAATACGGAGATTCAAGGCAAATAATAATAGTAATAGATTACAAACAAACAAGGGAGAAGTCACGCCGGGGCGACATAAAGAAACGTCTTCCTTCAACAATAACAGTATTAATAATAACTGGGAAAACGAACGACACCGCATACTTACTCTTCACGCGGCGTTTTAGTAGAGGGAGCTCTTCTTCATGAGACGCAGGAACTCCTCCTCGTTCACCTCGCCGTCGCCGTCGCGGTCGGCCTCGTCGATCATCTCCTGCAGCTCCGCGTCCGTCATGTTCTCCCCGAGCTCCATCGCAACCCGCTTCAGATTTTGGAACGAAATCTTTCCCGTGCCCTCCGTGTCGAACAGCACGAACGCCTTCAGCATCTCCTCGCGCGAGTCGCGCTGCGACATCTTCTGCGCCATCATATGCACGAACTGTGCGTACGTCACGACGCCGCTGCTTCCGCCGCCGCCCGCAGCAGCAGCAGCCGTATTCGCCGTGGAAGCGTTGTTCGCCGAGGACGATGCACCGCCCCCGCTTCCAGTCGCGTTGTTCACCAGCTGCCGCAGCTCTTCCTTGCGCGGCTCGAAGCCGAGAGCGCGCATGGCGATCCGCAGCTCCCGCACGTCGATCGTGCCGCTGCCGTCGGTGTCGAAGAGGTCGAAGGCTTCTCGGATTTCCTCGAGCTGATCCTTGGTCAGCTCGGGCGTCGCAACGGCCGGGGCGGGTGCGGGGGCGGGAGGCATGGAAGAAGAGGAGGCGCCGAGCCGTCCCCCTGCTGTGTTGCCGCCGTTCATGTAGCTGTATTATTATTATTATTGCTTTTCTCTTCCTCTTCTTTTCAGGAAATCGCTTACCGTTTTGCGGGCGGTGGTGTGGAGCACAGCCGAGTGGGTGCGGTGTGTGGCGGTGCTTGGAGGGAGGGGGGTAGTACCGACGGCTTGTGAGGAAACGCAGAAAGGATTCTAACGGAGTGGTTTGCTGGAGAAGAGCAGCAGCAGTGCGAACCCGCAACGAACGCCGCGGAAAGAGGAGGGTGTTGAGAAGAGGGTGTTTTTTGTGGTTGTTGTCGAGGATGTGCGTTCATTGAGAGACCAAATAATAATAGAAGATAAAAAATGAACGCTATGTGCCGGGACAACCAGCGGCGGATCATCGGTGCACGATCACATGTCAGTGACGAAGATATCGCGCCGTCACGTGATGTCTCACGCGCACCGGCAATACTTTGTTGTTGCTGGTTTCTTTGGCTTTCTTCTTAACGATGAGAAGAAGACCGTTTAAGACAACGCTTATTAACCGAAATTGATGCCTCGTCTTCTCTTCAAAAGATACGCGGCATCCTCAAGCGGAATAAACACAAGGAAAACGCCGAGACGAAGAGTCCGACACACAGCACCTTCGTTTTCTCTTTCTCTCTCTCTCCCCACCCTTCAAGCAACGCTGCCGGATGTGCGAGGCCGCTGCTTTCCACCGTTTCCCGTCTCCTCTTTCTCCTCCTCCTCCCCCTTCACGTTCGTCCCATCGAACTCGCCGTCCACCGAGTCCCTCCACACCATCTCCTCCGCGTCTTACTCGCGGCGCATCCGCCGGCTTCGCTCCGTCGTCCGCGTCACATCCTCACGCACCGAGCTGGCGTTGCTCTCTGCGTCCGAGTCGTACGACCTCGACGGTCTCGAGGAACTGGATTCGGACGACGATGAAGAGGAAGCGGAGGAAGACACCACGTACGTCTCCTTCGCGCTGCTCTCTGTCCGCCGCCTGCCCCTCCTGATCTCGTTTGCGCTCCTGTCGTCGTCGCCATCCTGACGCAGGCGCTTCCACGAGTTGCCAGAGTCGCGCTCTGTCGGAATCGTTGAAGCCGCTGGCGGGGCAGCGGCCGTCGCCCCGTGCAGGTGGGCCAGTGCCAGCCGCTCCTCCAGCGACGTCACGCTGCGCGGCGGCTGCGTCTCCCACAGAAACGGTGCATCACCATCGCCGCCGCGCCGCAGCTGTCGCCGCTCCCGCCAACTGCGCGCGTTGCTCGGTAGCATCGCGGCGTCCTCTTCCCCATGAAAGCGGCGCACCTCCTCCATGTACACGGGCATCTCCGTGCTGAGCTTCGCGTACGTTGTGGCGATGGCCTGTCGATGGAAGATCATGTCCGCATCTACGTGGAAGATTCGAGACAGCAGAGTGGGACGACGGCTGAGGTCATCGATGGAGGGCGACGACACCTGCGCATCAACGGAAGCAGCAGGAGGAGAACCGCTCATCGTACCCGGCTCATTACCACTCGTGCTGCTACTAAAGTCAGCCGTCAGCGCCAGGTAGGCGTAGGTGAACATGGAGGAGATGGAGTGAAAGAGGCGTAGCGAGCTCGCGGCGTTGTTCGCGGCGTCGGCCGGGTCGGCGATGCTGCCCTGCGCGGGACCCAGCGGTGTGCGCGGGGAGGAGGGGGAGACGGGGGACTGCGGGCGGTTGGTCCAGTCCAAGTCGGTGCGTGCGTGGAAGTCGCCGCAGTCACTGCTGCCGCGGCCGTCGCCGCTCGCGCTGAGCTGCAAGTCACCCAACGAGACCGCCACGCGAGAGTAGCTCCAGAACTGCCCACACATGCGCAGGAAGTCCACTAGGAGCTTCCCCAGCCCTGTCATGGGTCGCTGCTCCGGGTGCGTGGTGTAGATGGGGTGCTGGCGAAGAAAGGAAACGACGAGCAGGGTGGTGGCGTAGCTGCCAAGTCCGCCGTGGTACGGCTCGTGCATCCCGCGCTGCAGTAGGAAGTACTTCACCGTCATGACGAGCGGCACGGCTTCCGGGTACGTGTTGAGGTAGCGCACGACGCACTCCGAGTTGCGCTTGCCGTCGACCGCGCCGACGCTGATGTCGACGTCGATGAGGGAGCCTTTGTGGACAAACTTGATGAGCGGGACTTTGGTTTTGAGGATCACCTGCGGGTAGGCGTTCTCGCACAGGCCCTCGTTGCTGATCTCCTTCGCCAGCGTCGTCAGCGCCTCCTCTGGCGGCACGGGGACGTCCAGCAGCGTCACGTCCAGGTCGGACAGCGGGAGCAGGAGGTGGGTGTACAGGCTGCCGTACACGAGCACGCGGCTGCCGGGCCAGAGACGGCCCACCAACTTGCCGATTTTCATCTCGATGTACCGCCGCATGGTCACTTCGGCCTGCGTCGGCCGCAAAAAGTCCACCAGATCCGTCACCTCCTGATGCAGCGCGATGAGAGGGTTGGTGGCGCAGTAGCCGCCGTGCTGCTCCATGCGGGCAGTGCTCCACAGCGGGACGATGACGACGCGGCCCTCCGCAGGGAGCGAAGCCCCGCCGAAGCTGCTGCGCTGACGTCGCTGCTGCTGCTGCTGTTGTTGAAGGGTATTCCGCCCACCGGAAGAGGATGGTGCGGAGGGCGTCGTGACAGGAAGGTGAACGGTGGCTTGCAGGGCCCCGGACGCAATCGCCTTCGCACCGGTGGGCGTGGTGGATTGAAAGTCCAGATAATCCCCCGTCAGCCCTTCCCCCTCCTCCTCCGCTTCAGCTGACTTCGCCACTTCTCCCACCACCGCTGCCACCGACGCTGTCGCCTCCTCTGCGGCCTCCTGTCTGGTCTCCTCCACCGCCACTGCAGACGCGACGGTCGGCTCCAGTGATGTGGCATTCGTGTGGCGATACTGCGCTGCCTTGCGATCCTCCGGCACGTACTCCTCGTTGTCGTCGCCGTCGTTGCTACTATTTCCCTCGTTGACGTCCGCAACCACGGCGGCCGAAACGCTTGGCTCGTCTTCTGCCGAATCGTACGTGTCAGGCCGACGCTGTCGACGGGACGGCGGTGCCGCTTGTATGGCGGTAGCGATATCCGCATCGTCGTCGTCGCCCACCAGTGCTGTTGTCGTACCGCCCTTATTGCTGTTGAGCGTGGTCTTCTGCTTGCCCAGTCGCACCGCCGAGCGGTCGGCCGCGGCTGCCGCGCGTTGAGCACCCAGCTGCGCCTGATGACGTCGCAGCTTGTCCGTCACCTGTGCTGCCAGGGGCGGCTTCTCCTCTGCCGCCGCTGGATCCTCCTTCAAAAGCAGCCAGTCTGCGTCGAAGTCGTCGCGGTGTTCCTGAAAGCGGGCGAAGATGTTCAACGTGGGGATGGTCAGCGCCGGCTGCGCCACGGCTGCTGCTGCTACAACGTTCAGCGGGCTGCTCATGGCGGCCACCGCGTTGGTGGGCGTGGAAGCAGCAGGAGAGATCACCACTGCGTTCACCGCATCCACCTCTGGCACCACTGCACTGCTTGCACTCACTACGCGAGCTCCACGGCGCTTCATTGCCGAAAGAAAAAGGTCTCTCTTTCAATGAATTGAAACGAGAGAACACCAAACTCAGAAAAAAAAACCTCTGCAAATTCAAGCGGTGAGAGACAAACGCGGTCTTCTTAATTGGAGCCACGTACCTCGACAAGTACAGGCACCAACACGACGTTACGTGCGTCAACGGACACCGCTGGTTGCTGTCAAACGCAAAGAGTCACCGGCACAGCCGAGACGCTAACGCTGCCGAGCAAAGAAAAAGAAATGAATAAAAACAAATTCTCCACAACGCGCGGCTCTTCGCAAAGGAAAGAAGCTAAGCGGCAAAGAAATGGGAAAAGCAGCCGTGTGAACGAATTGAATGGGAAGTACAGAGGGGGGAGAGGAGAGGAGAGGAGAGGAGAGAGAGAAGTGAGCCACCAAACAAACAACATTAGAAAAAAGATGCCACATCCGCAGCATTGCACGCCGGTAATCGAGTGAGCGAAACAGACACGTACGCACGCAGACGCACTGCTTTTGTTTTTTTTTTCTCTTCTCTTCTGCGGAAAGCACAACAGCGAACGCACCGCTGTCTCCACGTCAAAAACCCCCAACTCAAAGGCAAGCAGTCTCTTTTTCGCTGTTCCTACCGCTGTGCGTACGACCAGCGCTCAGCTCTGATGCTTCCACAAGCAGTTCTGTCGAACGCATAACTCTCCCTTTAAATAAACAAGCCTCGACCTGCTCGCCCTCAACGGGTACGCGAACATCATCGTATGCAGTTTTAAGGCAGGGGGGAGGGGGCCAACTTTCACGGGTGTTCTTGCTTGTGTACTTGTTCGATTGTTTTAAAGCTGAACATATTACTTTCTTCTTCCACCTTGTGCGGGTGGCCATGTAAAGCACATTGCACACGCAAACACACATGTCTACACACACCTCCACACACACACACACACACATCGTAGGGCTTCAACTCCACACAGGGAACTTTGGCACCGAATGATCTCTCGCCTGCTATTCGTTGTGGCGGTGGTGATTTTTGAGGGTAAGACGACAACAACACACGCCAAAATAAATCTCAACGGCTGTCCTCCCCGTTGAGAGGGACAGGGGAGAAGGGAGAGGGAAGAGGGAGAGGGTGAAGCACGAAGACAAGCCCCAAACGTTGAACGCACGTGACGGCGCTCGCTGCCTCCTGTGCGATCGCGCCAACAGCCAGCGCCATTCCTCCGAACTGGACTGCTGGGGCCGTGACCTGCCTTCTTCGGGGTAGTTTTTTTTTTCCTACCGCTGTGACGCTTCCTTCTCTTTCCTTCCCTCTACAGGGCAAGGAAAGGATGACGCAGGAGCTCCTCCGCGCTGCTCCGGTCCTCTGGCCGCACCCTCACACACGCAGACACGAAGCTCTGCAACTCCACGTAAAGCTGCATTACCCTGTATTGACGCTGGAAGAGCAGCTCCTCGGCTGCAGAAGTGGTGGCGGTGGTGGTGGTGGTGGCCGCTTCGTCCGCCGTTTGCATGGACCCAGTTTTTAGAACGAACCTGTCGCCGCGCACGCTGCCGCACGTTGCGTGCCTATGCAGTGTAGGAGACGCGACAAGGATATCCGATGGCACCGGTGAAGCTGTGACGGAGAGCGGAGAGGGGGACACCGCGGCACACGTGCTGCCGGGCCGCACCCAGTGACCGACCAGCGTGTCCGAGTGGCTTGCCGAACTGTGCGCCGCACCTTCGACCGTCACGTCACGCCCCTCCTTGCAGCCACAATCAGCTGCCGCTGCGACACAGTCAACATCAGCATCAGCATCATCAAGGCGACGGCGCTGGCGGTACGGCGCTTCCTCTTCCTCTGCTAGTGCCATGTCCGCCTCCACTCGGCCGCGGATGCCGCCGTGTGCATGGAGGCGCTCCTCATCATCAGCACTGTGGCTCTTGTCCGGCTCTTCGGTCAACAGGAAGGATGCCTCCGCAGCAGCAGCAGCGTTCCGTGCCACCGTTGTCGGTGACTGGGCGCCTTCGTCCGCCAGCCATTCCGACGCCTCCTCCGCCCACGCACGCACCAGCGGCGGCAGCGGCAGCTCCTCTCTAGCGGAGCCGATGCGATACAAGACGCGGAGCTTGTCCTTCGCGATGTGCCGCCACGGTGCACACCCCGTCGCCATCTCCATCACGACACACCCCAGTGACCAAATGTCGGCCGGGCTGCCGATGGCGTGGCTCTCGAAGCGGATCATCTCCGGGGCCATATACAGCGCCGTCCCACGGAGCTCCGTGATGGCGTCGTGGTCGACCAGCACCGGGTAGGTGGGCGGGGAGACGATCGAAGACGCGCCGTCGCCACTGCTGTTCTCGATGTCTTGATGGGCGTCCGCGTCGCCGGCGAGGGGCTGAGTTGTCTTCGCGATGACGGCAGAGACACTGGTCGGCTCCTCGGCTGCGGCCTCGCTGTGTGCGGGGGTCGCTGGGGGCGTCTGCAGCCGCATCGCGCAGCCGAGGTCCGCCAGGCGGCACTGCTCATCCGCCGTTACGAGCACATTCGCCGTCTTGACGTCCAGGTGGGCGTAGTTGTGCTCGTGCATGAAGCGTAGGCCCTCCACGATTTGCCGGGTGAAGTACTGGACCTGTTCAATGGAGAGCGGCGGCATCTGCGGGTGCAGAGCCTCATTAAGCGGCATCGTCTCCCACGTCGAGCCGGAGTAGGCCATGGAGGGGTCGCCGGAGGAGGGGCTGGTCAGGGTGCTGCCGATGCGCACGTGAAACGCTCCATCCTCCTCCTCCTCAAGGCGAGTGCGAGCGTTGCGCGGCGGCTTGCCGGTAATGGGCCGTGCCGCGTCTTCCTCTGCGCCGTCGGTGATGCCGCTCCGTGCCACGTTGGGCAGCCCGCCGTGGCTTTGGCCCTGATGGACCTTCCGGAGACCCTGCAGTGTGGAGTCGGTGATGTGGCAGTTCGCCGCCCCATCGTCCGTCCCCGTGTGTCGCCACGGGTCGACTGCCGCAGCAGGGGCATCGTCGTCGGCATTGTACCGGCCCGGGTCGAATGCTGGAGCATCGCTGTTGTCCGCGCTGGCGTCTTCCACCGTGGCACCACCTGGCACCGTCGTGGCAGAGGCAGATCGCGCTGCAAAAGCGGCACGACTCCGCACCGCAGCAACGCTATCTCGGTCGTCCCTCGCGTCATCGCCGCCGTCCTTCTTGTCCACGTCGCCCCAGACCGCAGCATCCGCGCTGTTCCCCTCCACCATGTAATCCAGCAGCGAGCCGCGCTGGCAGTACTCCAGGTACATAAGCACCGAGTGACCACGCTTCTCGGCACCGAAGAAGCCGACGATCCACTGCACGTGGTGCCGCGCCGCCAGCGTCAGCACCTCCAGCTCCAACTCTAGCTGCTTCAGTCGCGTGCGCAGCTTCCGATCCTTGGCGTCGAACACGATCTGCTTCGCCGCGAGCACCTGTCCCGTCTCCGTGTTGAGGCACTCGTATACCTTGCCGCAGGCCCCGCCGCCCAGGAAGGCGCCAATGGCCATCTCGCCGTTGCGGCCCGCCACACCCTGCAGACGGGGGCCGTGCTGCGGCTCGGAGGGCGGAAGCGGGGCCGCGAAGTGATTGATCGGCGCACCGGCAGCGACGACCACTGTCGACCCGGCAGCAGCAGCAGCTGCGGTCGAGGAGCCGCCAACGCCCGCCGCCGTTGCTGACCGCGCACGAGAGCCGCGTGCATTCATCACACCGACGCCGGCAGGCGAGATCGAAGCCGTGCGCTCCGCCTCCGCCGCGCCTCCTGCGGCTCCGCGGGCAGGGGAGGGGCTATTACTCGAGCATCGACGCGCAGCAGCAGCGGCGGCGGTCGTGACGCTGCCGCCAAGACTTGTCGGCGAGCCTGCAATCGTCGGACGCGTCATGCGTGCGGCAGCGGCGGCCAACGGTAGGGCAGCGCTGCAGTCGGAGAGTGACGACAGGCCGGGAATGGGAGCCGCCGCGTGTCCGGCGCCGCCACCACGCCGCAGCGGCGGCAACGCGCTCGTGTTCACCGTGCGTGACATTCCAGTCGTGCTATCGTGGTAGGTGAGGGAGATGGAGTAGGAGGCGGAGCCGTCGTCCTGGTGCTTCACCGTCATGTCATCCACACGGCGGTCGTGCGGGGGCTCGGTCGACTTCGGCAACGCTGCGGCGGCCGGGGCGAGGGAGAGAGGGGCCGGCGGTGGCACCGAGACGGTCGCCGTCGCCGGTGTGGCGGAAGTCCACGTACGCGCCCGTCCAACAACCGCAGTGCCTTTCCCGCTCAGGTTGGTGCCGGTGGAGTGGTTCGACGCCTCCCTTGAGCGTGGGTCACCACTTCCAAAAGCAGCAGCAGCAGCGGCGGTGGTGGAGGAGGTCGCGCTCATCGAGGCGATGCAACCCGCCCGATGACACGGCAGAGGGTACACCTCCCGCCCCGCTGCGGACTGGTCCGACACGGGGGTGGAGACACCGGCCACCGCCGTCGTCACCGCCTTGGCGGCTTTCTGGTCTTCAACATCCTTTTCCTCGTCCTCACACGTGCCCATCTCGTTGCTTTCGTTTGCATCTCCGAGTGCGGCGGCGGCGGCGGCGCGCGTACGCCGCTCGCGCAGCCGGCGTCGTTTGCTCTGCAGCACCTCCGTTGTGACGTCAGAGTGCGCCCGATTTCGGCAGTGGTAGTGATGCTGGAGCAGCGAGGAGTAATACACCCCTGGTGACACATCCGTCAACGACTGCACGGCGAAGCCGCACGGACAAACAGCATGGGAGGCATCCGCCGCTCGCGTGAGGCTGTACTGCACCGGCGACACACTATCGGAGGAAGCCGCAGCACCCGCGCCGGAGGCCGCGGAGACAGCACCGGTGGGGGAAGAGGAAGAAGAAAAAGAAGGTGCCTCGTGCAGCAGGCCCTGCAGCTGCTGCGTGTATCGGTGCTGCCGCTCTCGTCGGCTGGTCAACAAGGCCAGCTGCTCCGCAATGGTGCGACGGCGTGCTAGAGTGGTGGGCGAAAAAGGCTCTACCACGCCGTCCTCATCCCCTTCCGGTGCAGCGGGGACGGCGGTCGAGCTGCTGCTGTTCTGTCCGGCGTGTATCGTGGGAAACACACCAACGGCGTCGAGCCGTGAGAGAGACATCTGGGCAGCTTGTCGTTGACGGTCCTTCGCGTCGGCGCGTGCCCGCATCGCCTGCTGTCGCTCTGCGTACGCCTCCCTAGCAGGAAACCCATCCGTGGTGATGGCTGACGAAGCCGTCGCGCTGGCGGCCCGGTCCAGCGTGTCCAGCGCAGCGGTCGAGCCAACACGGCTACTCGCCTCACTCAGCGGCGTTCGCAACGGCGGAAGCCGGCCGATGGAGCGCGGCGTCGCGCCGACGCTGACCGAAGCGGTCACGGGCGAGCGTCGCAAGCTGGCGGAGGCGGCGGAGGCGGCGGGGACGGACGGTGGTGGCCGCGCCGCCGCAGTCGTCGCTACCAGCGTCGAGATGTCTTTTTGCAAGTTTCGCTGCGCACGCGCCAGTGCAACCGGGGACAGCACCGTCGCCTGCTGCAGCGCCGAGGTGGTGTTGCTCGTGCGGCCGGACGCGCTGCCGGTGCCGTCGCTCCAGCTGCGGCTGCCGTGGAGGGAAATGTGTTGCAGAACATGGAGGGGGACGCCTTTGGTGTCGGAGGATAGGGAGTACTGGGAGGGGCTCACGGTGGTGCCCGACACGGCGGAAGGCTCGACGGAGGACAGACGACGGCCAGTGCGCTGGAGGTACGGCACCTCGGCGAAACAAGGAGTCGTTGCAGATGGCGGCGCCGTCGTAAGGGCGTAGCTCGTGGCGGACCAGGCAAACGTGCTGCTGCTCCGTACCGAGGCGTCACTGCTGGTGCTGCTGGGGTGGGCGTTGCGGTAGGCGCCGGTGGTGTTGGCGTTTGCGTTGGGGCCCGTCGCGCTTGTGCTTAGCGCTTCACGCAGCAGCGCGGGGTACTCGTTCGCCGTCACTCGAGATCCTTCGTAGGTGCAGGTCATGGAGCGGGGGTTGGGGCGGCCCTCGAGGCCCTGGTCGGCACCACCCACGAGTGATCGGCTCGCCGCATCCAACATGTCCAAGTACGTGTCCGTCGCCTTCGCCTCGGCACTGGCGCCGTCGCCGTGATGCGGCGGCCCGGCTGCGGCGCTGGCAGAGAGAAGACCAAAGACGCGCGGCCACCCGTGCGCGCCGGCTGCGATGCCGTTTTGCGCGTAGAGATCCAGGTCGTAGTAGTTGCACAACAACAGGTTCGACCCGGTGGAGCGCGGCGGTGCAGCTGCGGCTTTTGATAGCAACACCTGAAATGGCGCTGCCGGGTCAGCGGAAGGGTGCGAGGTGGTTGAGGCGTCGTTGTTCGCCGCCACCGTTGGCGTGCGAGTGTCGGCAGCTGCTACGTCTTCGCTTCGCTGTGACGGCGCGACGAGCTTGGCGGGCCCCCGCTCCTTCACGTCGAACGCGTCCTCGGCCTCTCCTTCCACGGTCTCCTCCGCATACTCGTCCTCCTCTCCTCCCTCCTGGTCCTTCTCTGCGGGGTCGGGACGTGTATCCTGCGCCGACGAAGTGCGAGGGCGCGGCGACACACGGCTGCTGCAGCTTCGACTTGTCGCCGTCAACCCGTCGGAGACATCCGCCGTTGTGCGTTGCGACGTCACGGTCGCCGTCGGCGAGACCGCCAAGGACTTCTCAGCCGTCGACGGGTCGGTCAGTCCTATCCTCGCGGACAGCGACCCCTCCTCGCGCCTCAACGGCGGACGACGCGGCGCCGGTGGGGCAGGCCGTTCGCGAAGGTGGCTGTAGACGCGGTAGGCGACGGTGGCGGTGGCCGCGGCAAGCGCAGCCAGGACGGCGGCGGTGAGGAAGGACGCTCCATCGCCGATGTTGGCCGGTGCGTCCGCCTCCTTATGAACCTCAGACGTTGCAGGCGTATGTATGGCACGGGTCCACCACGAAGACGACGACGACGGCGGCTTTCGCAGAAAGGACGAAGTTTGCCGTGCGGCTGAGGCGGCTCCCCCACCGACAGGAGTGGCTGAGGTAGAAGGCAGTGGCGCGCTTGCCCCTTGCGCTTGAGCGGACGACGCCAGTCCCGTGCTAGACAACGGGGAGTCGCGTGACAAGCTCAGCGCAGACATTCTGGGTGGATGGACCTAAACTGGTGTAAAGCAGAAAAAAAACAAGAACAAAAACAAGAGCTACTGCTATCTTTACAGAGATCCGTCGTCGGACGCGGTGTCCGTATCGACGTCAATCTTCCTCCTTTTCTTTTTTGAAAGCTATGCGGCACTTTCGTTTGCTTGTTACAAATTTCCTTAACGGTCAACTACAGCCGGGAGGCTTATACTGATAATAAAAGGGAAAAGAGAAGAGAGAGAAAACAGCTAAGATGGTGAGTGCTTAATGCTTGAGTGCAATAAGAAAAGAAAAGGGAAGGGGGAAGACACAGAATCCTGTTTTGCCGTCTAGCAACGCGTGTGCTCGCACCACCGGAAGACAAGATCAGAAAGAGAAAACCAAAACCAAAACAATCGGCCAGGCGGCGAAATAAAAGGAGGGGGGAAAGAAAAAAAAGCAAGTCCTGTTCCGCCACCACCCTTCTTTCTTCTTACCCGCTGCGTCGTCCTCCGTCGGGGCGCTACCAATTTCCGCGAGTACTCCTCTCTCTCTCTCCTTGCACAATCGATGTTCCCCTCTCCTGCTCGTCTGCTGATCGCCTCCCTCGCTGCAGCGTTGCGGAGTCAAAAGCGGAGTGCGACAACGGCAGTAGAGACAGAGAATATTTTCTTTAGAAAAAAAGGGAAAGAGAGAGGGCGACGATGCCGTTGGGTGAGCTGTAAAACAAAACAAAAAGGAACAGACACCAAAGGGCAAGAGCACTTCCGTATATATATATATACGGACAAAAAGGCAAAGGAAACCGAACCAACAACGACGCCAGCGGCAGCGTCGGCAGGTCCCGTGGATGCTCGCGCGCAGTGTGCGACTCCACCCAAAATAAATTCGAAAACAAGCGGGAATATATATATATATGTAGAGGAGAAGTAAATGGTCACCACAAACTCCGCACACACTCACCTACCGCAGAAAAACCAGAAGGAAACAACTCTCCCCCCTCACCACAACACACACACACGAGAAGAAAAAGGGGGTTAAGACGATCTCCCTCGCACACCTGTGAAGACGACCTCGAAAAGAAAAAAAAGGAAAGAGAGACAGCAACTTTAGAAGAGGAATACAAAATGCTGTTCCGTGAGTGTGTGAGTGTGCTCCGAAGCTTTTAAGATTTCTTTTGAACTTAAAGATATTTTTTCTTCCTTATTATTAAAGCAAGATGTGGACGCACACAGAGGTCTTACACAGGGGAAGTCACGTGCACACGATGGTTTTCCCCCTTCTCTTCCTTTCCTCTCCGCTTACTGAGTGACGATATAGTTTTGGATAGGAAAAGAAGCAGAGGACAAATATATATATATATATATATACAGCAACGCACAGACGCGTTACACTCGAGCGCAATTCCGCTTCGGAAACGAAGACCACAGAACAGAAACTAGTAATAATAAATAATAATAATAAGCGCGTAATGAACTACAAAACAAAAGGGAGCGGAAAAGAGAAGGTTCCTTTTCGTTCCAGAGTGGCAGTAAAAAGAGAGAAGAACGGAAACATGTGAGGAGGATTCAGGAAGAGAAACCCCAAAAAGAAGAAGAAGAAAGGACGTGGCGTCAGATCAGATGGTCTCCGATGCGCCTCGCCTTTGCCGTTCTTGGCGTCTCGTCCTACTATTATTCTTCTTCCTTCCTTCTTCCTGTTCCTTAAGGGTTCTTTTATGCGGTTCGGTGTACCTTCACGTTTTACCCTTACGCGAGGACGCATTTCAAGTATGAAGAAGATAAGAAGAAGCGCAATAGGAATAAGAATAAGTGGTGGGATGTGTTCGTGAGGCAGAACCCATGCAGGTCAATGCGCATCGTATATATATATATATATATAGCAGATGTAGGCCAGTCAACGGTAGGGGGAGGAAAAGAGAATAGACAGCAGAGTGGGGAAGAAACAGCAGAGAAGGGTGTTTATGTTGTTTTTTGATAGAACTGGCAAGAAGCGTCGCCGCCGTTGCACGGAAGCCAAGGGGAAGGTCACTTAGAACCTCAGACCGACCGCCTCGGCTCAGGACACGCACATGCGCTGCCAACAGCAAAATAAGAGGCAAAAGGCGAAGACACCATGAGAGATCCCCCGTCATCCGCACACTCTGCGCACTGTGCGGCATGGACGGTGACGAGGATGTTGATCCACAGAGAGAGAGAGCGGAAAAGAGGTGGAAGACAGACGCCTCTCCGTGTCACTCCCCTCGTGCAGAGCTCTACTCTACTCCTCCTCCACGACACCGCGCAACGCCACCACTACACTTGGGCATCCGTGGGTGTTGAAGCAACAACGACGGTATTGGCTCCGTTCTTGTCCCCTCCGTGAATGTCATTGTATTATTATTATTATTTTTTGCATGAATACGAGAAATCATAAATAATAGAAAAAAGATGTATCACAAGTGAATATCACAAGCAAAGTGAGTTTCTTCCCGCCTGTCTCACCCGTCCCCCGCACGCGCCCTCCGGCCCAACCGAGATGAAAGATCAGCAACGGCAACAGCAAGAAAAGAAAAAACATCAGAGGGAGTTGCCGCGTTGATGGGGCGCAGTCGCCGTCGTTCTCATCTCGAGCCGCACAGACGCGTCCAGCATCCACGGAAACCGTCAACCTTTCAAGGAAGGAAGAGGCGAGAGAGGCGCGAGGGACTGTCCTTACTCCTCGTCGGCACCGCCGGCGGCGTGGCGCTTCGCGGCCTTGGCACGCACGCGCTTGACGCGGCCGGCGCGGCCGTTGCCGAAGGGCGACGCATCAGCAAACGCGATGTGGCGCTCGCTGTTCACGCGCACAATGAAGGAGGGGATCGTCACGATCTGCTTCGCGACGGCGATGTGGCGCTGCTGGATGAGCACGCGGGCGTGGTGCACCGACTTGGCGAGACCGGCCTTGAAGACGATCGTCTGCAGGCGGCGCTCGAGAATGTCGGGCACGGTGAGAGACAGCACGTAGTCGAGCTTGTCCTTCTCCTCGTCGAGGAAGCCGTACTCGTGGCAGCGGCGCATAATCGCGGAGCCCTCGAGCATGCGACGGGGGTGGGTCTCTGGCAGCGTCAGCAGCAGACGGGCCGTGCGGCGCATCTTCGACAGCGTCATGTTCACGCGCCAGATCTCACGCTTGCAGCGCAGACCGTACTGGCCGCACAGCTTCATCTCGCGGTCGAGGCGCTCCTTCTCGAACGGGCGGCGCGGGGCCTTCCACACGCGGTTGAAGTTGTTGTAATTGCGCATTGATGCCGAGTTTACTGGGACGGACTCAGTAGAAGGAAAAGAAAGACACTAACGTTTCGGTCGATTGCGGTTGCGCGAGTTTGTAAGAGGTGATTTGTAAGGAGGGAGGGGGGAGGGAGGGAGTAGGAGAGGAGTGTTGCACCGGCGGAGAGGCTGCAATGCGAGAGGGCATATCCTTTTTTTTTGAAGAAGAAGAGGGGAAAGGAAGACGATTGCCCACTCGTGGTGCGCAGACGAGCTATTCAAAGCAGAGAAAAAAAAACCAAAACCCCCGGCAGATCCTGCAACGCAGCGTTGTACGAGGTCTATTCCTGACGACTCCTTTCGGTGGAGGCTGTTGGTAACCCTTTGAGAGCTTTTCTCCTCGGTTCGTTTAATTGTCATTTAAAGATCAGCACAGCCTCGAGAGATGAACGTGCGCCTATTAATGCCGGCGATCAGGAGTCACCGGAGAAGCACGTCTTGTAGGAAGCGAAGGGAAACGTGTTGGAGGCGCGTTAAGAAATCTTGCGTTCGCGAACACGCAAACAGACATATATATAGGCAACAAGATCCGCTGTCAACAAGTGGGACAGCATGCTCCACACCGGCTGTACGTGCACCTGCGCAGCCACACGTCTCAAGCAACGAGAAGCACATCGTCCGTACGAGAAATGAAGCAAAAGGAAACCACTTGATATTTTAAAAAGAACATATATGAATAGATAATTGTAGGCAAATGTCAGGCAAACAACAACGGAGATCGCCACTTTTGGCTCGCGCGTTTCTATCGGACGCTGAGGGAAGCAGGAGCACCAAAACGGGATGAAAAGAAAAGGAAAAGAAAGGTGCAGTTGCCCGTCTTTGTTGCAACAAGCAAAAGAATTGTGTGGGGGCTTTCATGGCGCCTTCGCAGAAACGCCAAACAGATAAGAGCGCACATGCCGTTGCATCGCGCGCGTACTCTGTTTAAAAGAGTACTTTTCTTTATTTTCTTCAAAGCTGAGAACAATACTGGAAGCGTTATACAACGTCTGTCTCACACGGCCCAAGCGCCACCGACTCCATCCTTTTCCCCTTTCGCTTCCTTTACTTTCGAATGAACTTCGAGTAAATGATAAGGACAATCAGCAGCAACAGAAACGCAACGACACAGCCCTTAATGAGCCACTCCTTGTACACGCCCATGCGGATGTCGTGAATTACCTGGCGAGAGTCTGTGAGGTGCTGATGGGTGGAATCGACGTTCTGGAGGCTGTTCTGGATCACCTCCCGCTGCTTCCCTAACGACTGCAGCGTAGCGTAGCCGGAGTTGTTCGTCGACTCGTTCGTGCGCAGCGCTCGTTCGATGTTATCGCGGGTTTGCTGCGACGCAGTGGAGGAGGAGGGGACGGCGGCGCCTGGGCCGCTGCCAATGCCGCTGTAGCCGCTGCGAAGCCCCGCGGCGCTGTTTGCTGGCTGCACGGAGGTCTTCATGTGATCAATCAACGCGTTTGGAGACCCGGCGTGGGTCCCCTTCTCGGCCGAGTTGGAACGCATCTCTTCGTTTCCAGCTTCTTTGTTGTTGCCGCTGCTGCTCTTCTTTTATTATTATTACTGCCTGGGGTTGTTCGTTTACTACGTGAGTGGGGGGGGGGCTGACCTGTACGCTGCTGAGCTGTGGCCGTACACAGCAGTCCATTACCGTTGCAAAGGGATACGGTTGATCGTTCCGACAGTGTGTGTATGTGTGTGTGTGTGTCGCGATGAACGCAATGCGAGAGAAAGGACGTCGTTAAGAAAAAAAAACAGTAGAGGGAAGGAGAAAGAAGAAGGTTAGGGGAAATGGCAACGTCCATGGCCGACGTACGCGTTGACGGGCAACGCTCTTGCGGACACGGCTGCATCGAGAGGGCCTCCTTGTCGTGTTGCCTCTTCGCTGTTCTTCACTTCCCGCCCCCCCCCCCCCAACTTTTCGGAGCAACTCCTGCTTTCCTACAAGGAAGAAAGGGTGAGTTGCTTTGCGCAGTGCGTGTGTGCCAAAGCATCTCCCACCTGTTCCCCTTCTTTTTAACTCACGAGCCCTGGAGGTAGAGCACAAAGGAAATGGAGTGCTAACGCAGTCCACCCCTCTTCCAGGCGAAGGAAAAGGGCGCTGCTGCACACGTCGGCAGCTACACAAGAAGCCAGCATCCTCTTCGCACGACAGCTACGCCCGCTTCTTCTGTCGTCTGAATCAGTGTTCTGCGAATTATTATTATATATTTTTGATCAGCTGAAACTATTAGGAACACATAAATGTCGTGCACAACGCCAAATCACGGGAGCATAGAAATACAGAACTCTAGAGAGAGAGAGGATCAAATGGCAAGCCAATACCAAACGCACGACGAGAGCATCATCAGAGAGTAATCACATGGCAGGAGTGCCGATGCCAAGAGCAAATAGAAAGGGAAAGGTTTCTTCAAAAAATAAAATCCAAAAGAAAGAGAGACAGCGAGAGAGCTGCACATCGTTGCAGAATTGAAAATAACACTTCGTGTGCATCTTTCGCTCTCCTTCGTGTTGCTGCTACGGGAGGTGGCGCCGAAGGAAGGCTGCTTTGCCGGCTGTGTGTGTGTGTGTGTGTGCTGAGAGGCGTGACCTATGCAGGACCGGCAGTGCCGCCAAGGCGAGATCCTTTGCCGGGTGCACCGCAGGAGAGAAACAGACGAAGAAGAACGAAGTTTCTATTAATAATAAAGACGCTTGAGAGGAAAAGAAAAACTGCCATAAATGACCACAACAGAAAAACACAAAAAGAGGGGTAGAACCTCTCCACACACCTACATAGATACACCTACATACATACATATATGTACATGCATTTCCAACGAACCAAAGGAGATCGTTGTAGCAACGAAGATGCGAGTAAGAAGAATAATAATAATAATAATAGTGGGGAGAGGTACGTGGCGGCGGAGGAAAAAACAAAAATGAGTGAAGGGAGAGAAAACACACACACACACACCAACAAAACAGCAGCAAGGGATGTACACCGCACGGACCACCACACCACACCACCGAATTCGTTTCAAACCTTCCAAGCCTTCCTTCCTTTTCTCGTCGATATTGTGTGGAGAGGGGAGGTGGGAGGGGGGGGGGGTCCTTATCGTTGTTTGATTGATTGTTTCTACACGCCAAAAACGGAATAGAAGACAGGAGCACGGAGGGGGGGGGTGGAGGGGAACAACACGAGGAATAGAACATCCTGCATGAAGCCTTCTAACAAGAAACACAATAATTAGAGGGGAGAAGCACGGGGGCATGACACCATGAAACATACAACAACGGGAGGGGGCCGCATTCGCAGCAGTGCGAAGACGCGTAGAAGACCAACACCTAAAAAAGAAAACTTCGTCAGGAGCACGTTGAGAAGAGGAGAAAAACGGCAGGAAATGATGCAAAATGAAATTTCAGCTGAGAGGAGGAAACCCAAAATCAGCCACTTGGTGTGACAGCGCACATTCGCGGGGGAGGGGAGGCGGGAGCGAAGACGCTCACCGGTGTGCCGCGGGAGTAATTGGGCTTAAAATAGGGCCGTTGTTGTGCGGCGGTAACGCGGGGTAGTGCGAGCCGCCGGTCACCAGCCGCGGCGCCTCCGCTGACGCTTTCCCACTTTTTAGTCCCTGCACCGCAGACCGCTTCGTCGACGCGCCCAGCACCGATTCAGCATTGGCGCCTGCCACCATTTTGATGCGGTCCGTCATGCTTGCCGCTGACACGCCGTTGCTGTCGCGCGACAGTGAAGCGTTGTTGGAGGCGGGGAGCTTCGGCTGAAGGGGGTACAGCGGAGAGGGCTTCGCCTGCGCAGGGTGCGGCTCGGTGTCGCGTGGGACGTAGAGGGACTCGGGCGATGACACGCCGGAGTTGCTCCCCGTCGATGCCGCCTTTTCAATGGCCGGCAGCGGCTCGAGTATGGACGGGTGGCTGCTGCAACTGCCGCCACCAAGGCCATCCCCACCACCACCAGGAAGGTTGTGGTGCGCCGTCAGCTGCGGCACCGCGACGATGTGCGCGATGGAAAGCGTCGGAGGCGAGAAGGAGACCGTCGCGCCGGTAGCGGGCTCGGCCCACCCTTCCTTCTGCGTGCTTTTGCACCGCTGCGAATCCTCGCCGCTGTCGCGACGAGAGCGGTTTCCCCCACTTCCCGAGGTGACGCTGCTTCCACTACTCTGCTGGTTCCGTCGCTTCTTGCCGCCCCGCACGCCCCTGGTGGCGGCGGCGAACTTCGCAAGCGGCGACATCTCGCTCCCTTTCGGCATCTCCAGTATGACCGCGGGGGGAGTAGAGCGCGCCATGGCGGATTGTAAGGGTGGGCACGGCGTAAGGGCCGCGCTCGCCAGCACGCTGCTCGCGCAGTCGTTGCTGTCCGTTGCGCTGTCGCGGCGCTCCGGCGGGGGCGGTCGTGCTGGGGCGGTGAGGGACTTCTCGGGTGCTGCGCTTGGCAGCTGCGCTGCGTCAGCCGTCACGGCGGTGGCGGTGTTGGCCGTTCCCTTACTTGACGAGCCGTGGCAGTTTGTCTTCGCCGTGGCGGCGGAGGGGCTGTTCGTGCCTTTCGGCTGGCCGGCCTTTCCAGCAGCCCCGTTGACGTGGGCTCCATCCCCGTGTCCCTCGGCACCAGCGGCCGCGGCGGGAGAGGAGTCGCCTATGTGCTGCAGCGCCGGCGCCCTCGCCACGAGGGACTTCAGCGGCAGTCGACGGGTAGGAGGCGGCAGACGAGGCCGACGACCGTGTGCCGCTGCCGTGCTCGGAGGCGTCGCCTTGTCGCTGGGCGGAATTGCCGTCATCGGGGCCGCCTCCAACATCGCGTCGTCGGCGGCGGTGGCCTCTTCCTTCACCTTGGGAGGCGCACCCTGGGAACCTGTGCTGGGCTTATTGGACTTAGTGCTGCGCGGGAGACCGTTCTTCTTGGTGGTGCTGCTGCCGCTGCTGGTGCGACGGTCGTCTGCCGTCGGTGTGTTGGCATTCTTCGGAGTGGAGTCGGGAGAGGTAGAGGGAGGCACCGCCAGGAGCGTCGCCTCTGAAGTGGATCCTCTGCTGTGCGCAGAGCTGACCGATGCTGTTCCGGCCGACTTCACCGACGCCTTCCGCTCCGTCACGCTCGACGGCTTCTTCGCGTTGGCGCTGCTGTTGCTGTTGCCGCTGCCGTGGCGCTCCTTCGTCGCCTTCGACGCACGTCTGCTGGGCGGATGCTGCGTGTCGGCCGCGGACTCGCCGCGGCACTCCTCTCCCGCTGCGTCGCTCGCCGTTCCAAGCCTGTGTGGATCGCGCTGCGGCGGGGGGCCGCCCGAGGACGGCGCAGCGGGAGAGGAAAGGGCATCGGCTGCGGTGGACGCCGCCCCGTCTCCGCCCGGCAGCACCGGAGAAGGCGGCGGTGGGGCCACGGTGCTCGTGCCGGTGCTGCCGGGCCGACCGGTGTGGACCTTCGGCGAGGACTGCGTGGTGGTGGTGGTCGTCGTCGTCTCCGGCGCCTCCGACACGTCGTTGTTCTTCGCGGAGGCCATCTGAGAAACCGGAAATTCCGCCGCAGCGGCCTCACCCGACGGGACCAGCGGCAAAGGGCTTGCGTTCTTGGCTACGGGAGTCGACCGTGAAGGACGCGATCTGCTGGCGGCGGCGTGGTGGTCGTGGGCATCACCCTGGTTCAAGGGCAGTGGCGGTGGAGCAGGGGTGGAGAGCCTGCCGCCCTCCGTGCTGCTGCTCCCGCCGTCGTGGGTGGGGAACGCTCTGGTGGGAGAGGAGAAAGAGGAGACAGCGACGGAGGCCTCCGATGCCGGGCAGGGCGGCGAGTGCGACCCACTCCGCGCGGCGTCGCTCGCGGTGGTGCGGCTGTCCTGCTGTGCGTGCGTGGGTGCGACGGTAGCCGTTGTCGCTACCGCGGCGGCGGCGGCGGCGGCTCCTCCCTCTAGCTTCGACAGCACTCTTTCGACCTCATCTGACCCTTCCGTCTCGGTGGGAGCTTTGGGCGTGGCTCCGGCCTTTTGGTGGCCCGCGGGCGAGACGGTGTCGTCGCGCTCCTGCGACTGCGGCACCGAGGTGGGGCGTGACGGGCGTGCAAGGGACGACGACGACAACGGCGGCGGCGGCGGCGGTGGGTGCTTCTCGGGTGTGGCTGCGGCGTCGCTGCGGATGCGGTGGTGCGGGTGCTGCTGATGGGGCACCTCGGCCACCGTCCTGTGTGGGCTGCCGTCCTCCTCCTCCGTGGTGTTCTCCGCCGGCCGGTGCTTCCGCAGTAGCGACGGCGGTCGCAGCAGTTTCTGTGGTGCACCATCGTCTGCCCCTGCGCCGCGGCTGTCGGAGGTGACGCTGCTGCTGGCGGGCTGAGCGTCACTGAGCGTCGCCGTGGTGTTGTTCGGCATGCCGCGCTGCCGCGTCGGCGGGGCCGGTGGGCCGGGCGCCCGCCCTGTGAAGGGCACCACCGACATCGCGACGAGTTCGTTCTCGCTTGTCGTGCTGGACGCGTTCATGAGCACCGTCGCCGCCGCGCCGTGCTTTGCTGCGTGGATGCCGGGGACGCG